AGATTGCAAAATTTAATATTTGTCAGCTATATATTAACACATTTGTATTATAAATTTCTTCTCTCTTTTTTTTTTTTTTTAGTTAATCGATATGCTTTAATATTTTATATTTATTTTAATACTTCTAAAAAGTACCTTTCGTATGAAACATTATATTTGGCATATTTTAATAAATATGCTTTTACACACCTAACAATTGTAGAATTCATGAAAAAAAATTGACAAATGAAAATTTTTATTATACACTTTTTAAAAAAAAATATTATTTTCAAGGAAAAACTGTCATAAGCAATTCAGAAAGCAGTTCATATTAATAATAATGTATGCTTTCTTTCCCCGTCAATCTGAACATTGTCAAATTAATGTTCGTATACATTATTTCAAATCTAAGTAGTAAAAAATACATAAACACATTTATTGTAATAACAAAATGTATAAATTAAATAATTGTGAAATGTTTTTATTACAAATTATGAAACACAATTCAAGTTTATAAACAAACAGTTCGCTCAATTTTTTTAGGAATACTTACAACCTTTTTTTGTACGAGTTTTTGTAAAAGCATGTTTCTGTTTTGTTCTATTCCTACAATGTATGATATGAATAGAGAACTAATTATTAAAAATTATATAAAAACACATTTTTTTACAAACAGCCGATATTACACAAACAAGGATTAATAAATTTAAAAAAAAAAAAAAAATCAATTAATCAAAAGTCAAACAGAGCTACAAGAGAATAAAATTAGTGTTATAAAATTACAAAAAAAAATCAAAATCAAAATCAAACAGTATTATTAAAGGGTAAAAAAAAAAAAAAAACCTTTTTTATATGTACTTTTGTTCTTTCATTATTTACATTAAGCATAAATAAAGGTTAGAAACTATTTCCATCCTTCACAAAATTGTTCAATAAAGATAAGAAAACAGTCCCCGTATGCATTAATAATACGAGGATTCTTCTGATGGATAATAACCAAAATTTAATATCCTATTATAAGCATCATAATCCCATGAATCATACAGTGATGATTCCTCTGTATCCGTATAATTATAAAAATCATTCATTGGGTGTTTTTTCAAATTTCTGTCGATCAACCAGTTTCCAAGGGGTGTATACTAATATAAGTGTTAAAGTAATTAAAAAAAAAAAAAAATACATAACATAGTTATAACATATTATGAAGTGTTTATTGCAGTTATGATAATATAAGGTATTCATATAAAAGATATCATTTATACTTACCCTAAACAAAGCAAATGCTAAATAGGATATTCCTGCAACCAGAAACATATATTTCATCTTATTCTTATTAAATGAAAATTTTAGTAATCTTCTTTTATCCTTTGCTACTCGATCTTTAGGTTCATTTTCGTATTTACTATACATATCATCATCATACTTAAATTCTGGTAAATAATCCTCGTACTGGTAAGGATCTTCATTGTCGGAAAAATTTAAATCTTCCCAATCAATGTTTTCCCATGAAAAATCATGATCTTTGTATGCCTCCTGGTTATCTTCGTGTGATGGTTTTTCTGGATTATTTTTATCAAAATGACATGGTAATGATTCCATTAATTTATTCGGATTTACATCTTCACTACAATTAAAATAATCACCACAGTCTTTCCATTTGCAGCAATCATCATTATCAAAGTATCGATACTTGTTATAAAGCTCCATAATGTATTTAAGATACGTAGAGTACTTTGGACATGTGTCCTTGGAGGAAATTTTTTTTTGTATATCTTTAAAGTTACTAAAATAATCAAACAAAGATTTCATTTCTTTACATTCATTGTATGTACAATCAATGTAATATAAACATGTTTTATAATTATTTAGAGCGTAATTATCCCCAAGTTCATTTATATATCTATGTCTTATACATGAACCTTTAGTATCTCTCCTTGTGCAATTACTTTGAATTTGAAGTCTTGTTGAAACTTCTCTTTCATTAACTCCTTTTCTCATGGTTTCTTTACTGATATCTCGCCATGCCTCAAGAAGTTTTTGGGCTTCAGGAATACTATGAACATTTCTCCAAGACGTATTAAATATTTTACTTATTTCTTCATAAGCCCAAAAAATGAAAAGTAGACAGCGATCTCCATGACTTAGTTTTCCCATTTTCGTATTTTCTGTTATATTTTTCAAATTTCTCGCAAGTTTCTTACAAAGTTTTTTTAGATCTGCATTAGAAGTGCTTACTTCACTGCAGTAACTATCATAATTATGTGAAGTTTCATCTTTATTAAGATCTTTATATATATCATGTGAAGGTAATTCGGATAAGATGTTTTCCTGAATATCAAATAAAAAAGCAGAAAAGTTCTTAAATGCAACACTGTTTTCAAAAAAAATAATCGAGTGACATATTTACTTAATAAAAAATATGCACTCAAATAAACTGTCTTGAGACATATTTCTTTTATTTTTTTTAATATATTTTTCTTATACTAACCAGGTTAAGACCTTCAGGAATTTTAACATGTACTGGTAGCGCCGTCTCACCATTTTTCTTAAGTAATCGATTTTTTATATCTTCAATATTCTCAGATTCAGTTGATTCATAATAAATGGCACATTTTCCTAGTAGTGAATTCAAATTACTTTCATTATTAAATTTTGCTTGAAAAAGCTTTGATTCTTTATCATATCTTTTAGATAGTTCAGGGCTATATTCATCTTTTATGTTACTGTATAAATCCAAAATATGCAATAGATATTGGCAATTTTTCTCTTTATTTCCTGTGGTTTTATCATTGATAACGTTAATTATATCATCATAATAGTGTGTAAAATCGTGTAGTTCCTTTTTATTTTTTATCGTTTCCTTGTATGTTACCTGTTCAAAGTATTTTTCGTATGTGCCAGCTGGTACACCATTAAGTTTGGCATTAAATATGTTCTTTAATCCTTGGTAAAAATAAAAAATATTTAAGGGATAAGAATTATATTCTAATATTTTACCATACAACCAATAGTTCAAATAATTATAACATTTATGTTTTTCGTCACCTGAAAATTTACATATTTTATCCCATTCATTAAATATCTTTTCAATTTCATTACAAAGACTACGTAGCTGTGGGTCTGTTATTATATTAGTGCAATGCGCAGACTCTGTCTTATTGTTTCTCAAATATCCATCTAACGTTTCATAAAATTTGCTTAATTCGGAAGTTTTCAATTTTTCGTTCTATTAATAAGAAAAAAAAAAATTAAAGAACAAGTGTTTAATTTTAAGAAGGGTTGTAACAATGGTCCTTAATGGAGAGAATATATTCACATTAAATTTTAATGTAACATCGCGTATTATAAAAGTATAAAAATTTACATCTTTTACAAAGGCATCAACAATAAATGGCTTTTCTTTCGCTTCAGCCATATTAAATAAATAGTAATAAAAAATTCTGTAGGTGAAGTAGCATCTACATCATAAAAATAGCAGAATATAATACCTTGAGGTATTAGCTTTTCCTAAATAAATACTACTTTAAGCGTTTTAAAAAGCATATTATTTTATTTATGCCTAAACTATGATGTAACTAATATTCTATAGAGATAATTAATTAAAATAATAAATAAAGTCGAAATTATTTGTAAAAAAATTAATGGAAATTTGTGTCAGAAGCTAATATATGGAAACAATTAAAAAAATTTAATCAAAAATTCTTTTTTTTTTTAAATTCAATTGATACGTTACACTCTAGAAAAATTAGTTATTATATAAAAAATATGAATAACAAAACAATGTCAAATGAATGTGCTACTTAAATAAAGGTTGTAAATTAAAAATGCTTATTGAAGATATTTTCCAAATAGGCAATAAATTAAAGCTATAAAATAAATTGTTCAAATAAGAAAATACAATCTATCATATAATAAATAAATGAAGAAAAATAACTAAATATACCATTTAACATAGAAACATAAAAAAATATTAAAAACGTGTGTTAGAAAACGAAAAAAAAAAAAAAAATTATACGAATAAGAAACATGAAAACAGGGCAAAAGATATTTTTTCAGTAGTTTCTTTTTACATTTTTATTAAATGTAATTATCAAAAAATTTAAATTGTAGAACATCCCTTAACACTGTTACAAATACTTTGAATTCAAGAAGGAACTGTAGTCCCGTATATTATCTATAGCTTGATAAGCTATACGCACTTTTCCAATATTCGAATTTCCATGAACTTATTGCGAAGCATTCTTTGACATTTAACTTTTATATCTATTCTAATTATATACATATAGATATGTATATATATTTTTTTCTTCTGAATGCTCTTCTGTCTAACCATTATGTAAGAGCTGTACACTAATATCAAAAAGAAAAATGAAAAACTCAAAAGAAATCCTATTGATTTATGCCTAAAAAAGTCTTGTGCAAAAAATACCATAAATGAAAACATAAAAACATTTTTGTTTTAAATTGAACATTTTTTTTTTACCTTATAATAAAAGAATAAAAACAAAATTGCTCCCATTGTTAAAACCTTGTTCCTATGGAAATACGGAGAAAAAGCATCATCCATTATATTCGTTTCATGTTCTGAAGACTATATTGCCCATCTTGATCAACAGTTGCACGTCTTCCAATTTCTAAATTCTTAGTTCTTACTACGTTTCTTAGGATATTCATGCTCACGTTTTTCCCTTAACTGTGTGCATATTCGTAATTCTTTTTGTGTTTCATTAGACAAACATGTAATTTACTTTTCCCTAATATATTTATCATTTATGTTTGTTATAACCTAAGCAAATAATGTCATTCTATTTTCATCTTCAGAAATTTGTCTGGATTTCCTTGGGAAGGCTTTTTTCTTTAGGTTCAACTTTTATTTTTGTAATTTCACGGTGTGTTTTTAAGCCAGAACTACTCTTACATGTTTACTTATATCTACATTTTCTTTCCCTCCATCAGGTGTTTCTCCTGATTCTGGAGGTCCCCCTATACTCTCCATGTACACACTTATATATGAGAGGATTTCCTTCATCATCCTTGCTTAATTATTATTCTATTATCTAATTGAGTTGCAATGAATTTTCTTATGGAGTTGCATTATCAGAATTTTCTCTGAGTGACTAATCATTGCATTTTAATTCACTTAAAAACTTAAGACAGATTTGGATTGGACCACATTCGAAATATTTATGAAAATCTGGGGATGACAAAATACAGTAATCACTTACTTGCTCTTCATATATATTCTTCATATAATGATGATAGTTTGAATATAAATTGAAGTTTTCATTATAAAAAAGAATTTTCCATTAAACTTTACTAAAATTTTTAAAGTAATAATGTCAACCTTTCTCCTTTACCCACTCATCCATTGTGCCATGGAACAGCAGAAACAATGGCAATTAGTGCCTAATTTTTTATTAGCACTTTTACATATTTTATGAAATTTAGAAAAATCAGAAATATAATAGATATTACTTATTCTTAATTCTTTTCTCAACTTCATTAAATATCCAATAATTCAAATGTAAACAAAGATATTCTGAGCTCGAATCTTTTGTTTGTCTCATTTCTTTTAATTTCCTTACAGAATTTAATACATTACTCATTAATCCATTCTTTTTCACTTCCACTCTCTTTAACTTCATTATATTTTTCATGATTAGCTTTTTTTTTAGACTCCATTAAAATTTTCTTACAATTCATACGAATGCAACTCCCTTAAACTACTTCTCTTAATATAAAAAAAAAAAAATATAAGGTATATTAATTTTTAAATTCTTCTTATACGAAGGATTTGTTCTGCTTAGGTTCAACTTTCAACATGCTTAAATATCAACATAAAAACGCCCTTTTTAAGGTGAAATAAATGTATCTATTTTTTCCCCATTTTTAAGGGTCCTATTTTGACGTATGCATAAAATAAAAGATATTCTAATAATATCCATAAAAATATCAATATCTAGAAATAAATAATAGAATACAATACGTTGATAAACTACTAATACTTCTACAGAAGTTTCATGCCTCTAATTAATATATAAAAATATTCACCTATCATAATTTTGTGCCAATCTGATGTAGTACTGCAAATATTTCCCAGAGTAAGCATTTTAAATTGCGAAAATTTTGAATCAATTTTTGCAACATAAAGATACAAGGAAGATGAAAATGTGATGCAAAATCACACAATTAAACCTATTTTATGATTTATATACATACTATGTACTACTACTAATTACATGTTAAAAAAAAAATGAATTTTAATATCCACACATATAACCTAAATGAGCATATTTATACAATAAACCTTCTAAATATGTTACAATGTTATTTGTACATAAAGTGCCCGTTGCAAATATATAACAAAAGTATTTTTTATATGTATTACAACTCTGTCTTAAAAATTAGTGTGCTTAGTCTTTAAATTAATTTATTTACTCACTATTATGAATATGAATAAAAAGCATTTTTCTCGCACATGATACGTAAAATGATATTATAAATTAAGACTTGGAAAAAAAAATTGTCAGCAATATTGTAACACTTAAAGCATCTTATTTTTTCAAACATTATTTTTTCATCATGTGAAAATACATTTATTATTCTATTATTTTTTGGAAAATTCCCTTTTATTTATGCAGTTAAATTATCCACTATATATAATTCATTGAGACATAATGAAGGACTTAAAATTTTACCTTAGACAAGAAAAATAAAATAATGACATTTAGTACATAATGCTTTAAAATTAGCATTACTAAATATGCAAGTACACAAAAAATGATAGCAAGATATTTTCTAGTAAAATATTTAAATAGGCATAAAATTTATTCTCACTGAATAACAGAATAGTAGAATACTCTACGTGCAAATTAATTTAAAATTATTCAAAAAATATGACAAGTGTTAATTCATGGGAAAAAGAAAAATATTTTTAATATTTGTTTTATTTTCCCTTATCTAATAAGAATTATGCAAACTATATTCCAGTGCTCTTGAATTAAATATTTGTTTAATTTTGTTCTTCTTTGTGACACTACGGTGATAACACATTACATACACAAAACAAGGGAATAAGCAAAAAAAAAATTGCTATGCTTTTAAATGTTCTTTTGGTGAAGCAGAAGTGCACATATTTATATTCTACTATTGCGACGTAACTGATTTGTCTTTTTTTTTTCAAACCAGAATGTACCTTATGCATAATTAATTATAAATTTGTATATTATATTTTGAAATAAAATACTGTAATAAGTATTTGCTCTTTTTTCTTATTCAATCTTATTGTAATAACAATAAATTTTATTACTTCAGAATACGCTGATATATTCCTATTTTTTGGTAGTTTTTAAGAAAACATTAACAATTATCACATAATATGTTTTCCCCTTAATCTTTAAGGTAAGAATTGGAATTTTATGCATAATAAACTTGATGATCGTTTATAATTTTGGTATATTATGATGCATATCATTTTAGGCACAATACAGATGGTATTAGCAAAAATATATAAAATGATATTTAAATGAGTCTTTTTCAAATTTATAGTTCACTTATAAAAAGTATCTACTAATGTTAATAAAGGATAATAATTATTTTTAATGTTAAAAATAGCGCTCATGTTACACATTAAGAATGATGTTATGTTTACTATACATTATTATATTTCAACTATTTTAATTCGTTAATCTTTAGAATACCTTATGAAAGATATTATTGATATTACATGGTTAGAAAAAATCAACAGCTGTCACCAATTACAGAAATATAATTGTGATTATCACATATTTTTTTTACATCATTTTAAGTATTATAATGTTAATGTAGAGTTGACCCTTTGAGAAAGAATTAACTCCAACATTACATCATTCTATTTAGATTTGCATTAATTTTCATTCTAACTCATTTCGGTAGAAAAGCAAAGGAGTGAAGAGAAAGATAATAATGGTCATGTTTTATACAAAACTCTTGTACGATGAAATTAAAATCTAGAATGACAATTTAGACGTTAAAACAAAACATGACAAATAATCGCAAGTGTGTTGTGTTTGCAAAAACCTTAAATTTTATAACAAAAGTAAAAAATATTTTTCCTTATACTATAACGAAAAAAATGCAAAAAAAAATTAAAGGAATACATAAATTTTAAACAAAAATGTCACTCACAATGTGGGGTTAACATTATAGGTAAGCAAATGATCATTATCTCACCTCACTATTAATACTGAAAACAACATGTGAAAAGTCTTTTAACATGGGAATGAATCATATAATTTTTCGAATACATAATGATTAAAAAAACTCAAGGTGCTTGTTAGACATAATGGGAAAAAATTGAGCAAACGGAATCCTAGCAAAGTATGTCATAATATTTGCATAATATTAACGACCAAATTTTTCCAAGAGTTTATTTATGTGTGTGATAAAATAATATATCAAATATCTAAAGGAAGTATTCTTATTGTGACGTGATTCAAACCTCAATAATAACATGATTAAAGAGAACGGCATAACTGCCGGATTAACTGACATGTAACAATACATCAGTTACAACAAATTATTGAATAAATATACACAGACTGTGAACAAATATATTCATAAAAATTATAAAATTTTAAAAGCCTTACATTAATTTAAAATTCTCTATCTAGAATAAATTATTTAAGTAATAACCGAATACATTAAACTCACAAGAAACCCAAATATTAACTGCTTTGTAATTTCTCATTAGGTATTTTTTGTGCGAAAACAGAGCGTGTAAATCTTCTTATATGCTTTTCCAGTAAATTCATTTCACAAGAAAAATAAAGAGTACGGAAATATTATGAACGAATTCTTGCAATATCTCTAAAAAAAAAATACTTTAAAAAATATATACATGGAATTATCTTTTAACTGTGTACATATATTAAATTTCACACATCTCTATTCACAATTAAATGATGGAATAATCATGATTTTCTGAAAAAAAAAAAAAAATTATTTTTGTATTCCTTTATTCGTAAATATTATCCACATATATTTTAATACTTTTTCATGTATTATCCTTCCAAAAAATATTTGCTTAAGCAGGGTAATGATTTATAATAACCCGAAAAGGTACTTCATAATTCTACATGCGTCAGTCTTTTAAATGAAAGAACATATATACATCAAAATGTTGAAAATTTTTTATGCTATTTATCAATTTTTCTGCATAAGCAATGTTACAATTTTTTTAGCTTTCCTTGAAGCACAAATAAATTAGGTCATTAAAGAATATTAATATACGGTACAATATTTATATCATTCCTTCTAGTTACTCTTCTTTTATATAAGAAAAATAGCATAAGTGTTAGAAATATTTTTTTTCGAAATGTAATTTGTGCTACCTATCTTATGTTGCAATTTTCGACTATATTTTTACCACGCTGCGTGTGTGAAAATATGCACATTTCCACATCTTCTAATTTTTAAATAATGTTATTATAATAAATAAACTTTTGCAGTGCAAAACGTTTAACCTTTTTAATAACAGATCCGTTTTCCTGAATTACTACTCCATATCGAATCCTTCACATTTCATATAAATATTTATATTATTACAAAAATGTCAAACAAGCCTTAATAGTAAAAAAAAGTGTTCATAAGTCCTACAAGTTTATTGAATTAATAATTGAATCATGCTCCCTTCAATTTGTTACATTAAGATATATTATAGACATATAATTTCATCCATTTTCCTCTATTAATAAAATAATTTGGGAAATATTGTAAAGCCACAGTATATAAAAGTTCCTAACTGTGTGAAGTATATTTTTTATAAATTAGCACACATCTTTCTTTCATTTTATTTTTTAAAATATAAAACACTTTTTATTCTATGTTAAAAAAAAACAAAAAAATGATAAAACTAATTAAGCCTAGAAGATAATTACGAAACCTTTACCTGAAAAAATTTGCATATTTTACAAAATCATTCTAAATAATGACATATATAATATATGCTAGAAAATTATGTTATCACTATCTTCCATATATATGAAACTATATAATACAATGTTTCATTTTATATCACAAATGTTGGAGTAACATGGATGATGAGCTTTGTAATAAACTAGGAATTGTAATATTTCACTTTTTGTCACTAAATTGTTCGTTAAAAAGTTGTTTAAATAATTTTAATTGCACATCTATTCATAAGAAGAACAATTTGTATTGAACCATAAGTATTAATGAAAACTAATTTCGGCGCTTTCATTTTCAGAGTAATATTTTAAAAGATTTAGATGCTAATAAAATATATATAAAATTAAATTCCATTCAGACTAATAATACTTATGATGAATATTGCAAAGGTATTAGTACTTCTAATCACACAAACGATGATATTAAAAACCTTTGTTATAAACTTGTTTGGAATATGATAAATTTGTCTACCAGACTAAATGATGTAAATGATAATGATAAACTTTCATATGTTTTGTACTGGTTATATGATGAAATATGGAAAATCTACAAAAACTACAAAACTACTAATGTGCATGATGCCTTTTACAATATTGTTGACTTAGTGTATAAAATTAATGAACAATTGAATAAATATCATTATGTCCCCTTTACTAATTATGATTTAACAGAATGGAAAAAAGAGAAATATCTTCATGACTATTTTAAGAATTTCAATCTTTTAAAACCCGATGTTGATACGAATAAAATAGTTGGATATTGCAAATATATCCTTCATATTATAAATCTATACGAAAGTGAGAAAGAAAATTGCTGTTTTATTCAAGATTCTAAATTGAAAGGGTTTTGTAATCATTATTTTAACTGTGATCCAGAATATAATCCTAGGGATCTATTTAACACACTTAAATGTAATAATATTGTAAGTGTCCTAGCTCAGTTTGGTACAGAGAAGAACTCTATAAAGGGTGATGAAGGATATTATCTTTGGTTATTCGATTTATTTACTATATCAAAACCAAAGAATCAAGAAAAAAAATTAAAGACTACACTAAGTGAACCAAGTGGTAGAGAAGCACAATTAAAGATTACACCATCCAAGCCACCTTCAGAGGAACCAATCTCCCAATCTAGCAGCGAAAATGGAAGTTCATATGTAACTGAACCTTTTAAAGAACATGAAGTATGTTCTGATCCGTTAACAGAATCAGATTCTCATGAACCATGTAATAAAGTAGACGTTTCAAATCCTGCAACTGTAGAAAATTCTGTTGATGGTGTTCCTGTAGAAGCAAATGGAACAATGAGTGTTATTAATAATTACACCTATTCTTTTCCAGAACCTCCTCACTTTGTTCCAACGGAAAATAGTGATTATACATCTTTCACATCAGACGAAGATTTTGATGTATTTAGCGGGACATTTTTTCGTATTTCTAGCGTAGTATTATTAACATTGGGAATAGTATTTACTTGCTATTATTATTTTAAAGTAAATAATAATTATAGCTGTGTAAAATATATGCTATGTTTTATTATACAAAGATAGGAAATGCACATATATATATTTATTTATTTTATTCCTGTGTTAGCAAAACCCTGTTAGATTAAATATGAAAAGACGCAGAAGACGAAGACGGAGATTTAAGTACAAAAATAGTAAAAGGGATATACCATATTTTTATTCAAATGATTTATATGATATGTATAACTTTACATACGGGTGAAATATCTATTTAATTTATAACACAATGTAATATTCCTTGCTCGAATGAGATCCGTAATGTTAATTTTATTAAGAAAGTATTTATTATGTGTAATTTAAATAAGCTCCAATGTATGGTGTTCTTTAAGAAATATATTTCAAGAAGACTTATGAAAAAAAATATTAATCTTGTAATATATGTGAAGTAAATATAAAAAACACACAATTAATAAATGGAAATTTATTTAATTGCACTATATTTTTTGACCTGGCAATGTTATCCCATAAAGTGAAAAAACACTTTCTTCTTATGAATTTTCAGTATAAATATAAAATATATAGATATATGTCGAAATAGCTCCGAGCAAATGGCAGGAATTTATAAAAAGATAAACAACGATTATATCATAGCAAATGTAGAGAATTATCAAAATGAAATAATTAAAAAAAAAAAAAAGACATGGATTAGAAAAATATAAAAGACATAAAACAAATGAATACTTTTATGTATAAATGGAATAATTTTAATTACATCTGTAAGGATAAAAATAAAGTATTATAACTAAAATGGTGTGAACATATGTTGAAAATACCAGTATGAAAATGTAACGAATATATTTTTAAAAAGTATTATAATTGAATTGAACATTAAAAGGTGTTACATTATAAGAACATATTTCATTGTTTTATTTAAATGCACTTTTATTTAATCTGATTTTTATAAATTATACAATTATTTGTTTAGCTGTGATTTTCTTTTTTATACTTTAAGTATAATTGTTTATTTTTCTTCTACTTATTTTCTTAGCCTTTTTTTTTTTCTTTCTTTTGTCGTATATTGAATAATTTTTTTTGTATAAAAGGGTACATTCATTATAAAAGAATACTTTTAAAAATTACATCTATACCTTTGTATCACATAAACACAACAATTAATTCACATACAACTTGCGCTTATGCATCTTATTCAGAATAACATTTATATTAAATGCTTACATTAATTAATCAATTCTACAACCAAATAAATATTACGTTTTACCCAAAGTTTAACGTTTCTGCCAAAAGCCTAACAATATGTAGTGTAAAAGATGTATCCATTAATTTACGCAACAAAAATGAACACATTATTTTCACTTCTTATTTTAAAATAAGTAACATTAAAACCTATGTACATTGTAGAAATAGACCATCTTAGCAATTAAAAAATTCACCAGTAGTATGAAGGAACATGACTTTGTAAAAACTATATTACACCAATTTATTACTTATACAATCTGGAGTGATGTTAAAAATAAACAACAATATTTGTGTGTTAAATTAAAATTCAGATAATAATTTATTTATAAAAATTTTTGTAAAATGTATTGATTAGCAATTATGAATTAACAAATTATTAAAACACAATTTATGTTATTATGTTGTACGCGCTACATTGCAAATAAAAATAGCTTACATATTCTTCTATAAAAATTTGCTTTCACAACATTGAAGAAAAATTTCCTAATTCTTCTCAGATATTACGTTTATAATATTCCTTATTCGTTTTAATAAATATGAAATAGTGTAATATAAAATAAGGATACACTAAATATTATAATATGTAAAATATTACAGTACAAAATTTTATAATCATTTTATTAGGCATAAGCAATAAATATATGACTACAAATAATTCATGTCCAAATATATGTTAATTCATTTATCCACTTGTATTATTATTATGTTATGAATAAGAAGAATTTCAATGATTTCTTTTTTTTTTCAATTTAAGTTGCATAACAGCGAATTTGTCTAAGTGTGCTTTTATCTACGTGATTTATACCATATGACTATATTTTATTAAATATACATTTTCCCTATTTTATAACATAATATTTCACAACTATTTGAAAATATTTTAAATAAAATAGTAGGAAATTAATTTTTGTCGTTTCTGTTATTGCTGCTACGTGTATTTGTTAACTATTTGTTAACTACGATAATTTACGACCTATATTATCGACATCCTCATTTTATCAAATTTATTTAATATTAATATATTATACCAATATTTGTGTTTACATTTAAATTCTAATAAAGAATTTTTAACACGGTCCAGAAATAAAAAAATTCAAAATAAAAATGAATTTAATGTTTAGTAATGTAATTTAAAGAAATAATAATTAATTTTGTGGAAATTTAACTAGGTTGAAAATTCTTTGTAGGAAGCTTTGTAATCTGTCCTAGAAAAATAAAATAATGTAATTTTGTTATCCACACAGAATAATATAATCATACATTTGTTAATAAAGGTGAAATAAAAAAAAATATACGTGGGGTAAATTTCCTATTTTTTGTGTTTATATTTTTAAGTATCTTATAGTAAATTTAATTTGCCATTTTTTTTATTAACAAAATTGTAGTTTATAAAAGAATACATTATATAATTTGCGTAATTTATAAAAATATATTGAAAAAATGCTATATTGTATGTTCTATATAGTGTGTATAAAATTGACACTAAATATACGTTTTTAAACATTTTTAAAAAATAAAATAGTTATTCTCCAAATCGTATATATTTTTGTGATATATATCATAATATTTATGTGGATACAGTCAATTTAATAATATATAATAATAGCATAGGCTGAATAACATGTGAATATTTTACTTTCTTTAAATAGGTTCTAAATCATACCCAATTATTCAACATGCATTAAATATTTTTGTTATTAATTTTGATTTATATCTTTTCTGTATCCCTAGCATAAATCAATGAAATATTCAATTAATTTTTATTTTTATGAATATTGAATATTTTAGAAAAATTTAATTATATTATAATAAGTTTTGACATCTTTTTTGGACTTATTTCTACATTTATGGCAATATTCATAGAGTCCACGTTAAACACAACATATTATGATTGCTTAAATACTGAATTAAACCAAATTATACAATATCTTTAAAATTTTACAAAATTTTAAGGAACGATTTTCAAATGATAAAACTTGCACAGTTTTAATAATAACTCATTTATAATTAATATACTTTTATGATAAGTGTTATTTTAATACCATATACAGAAACATCACTATTAATATTATTATTTTGATGTCTTAATTTGAATTTGTATTTTTATGTCACTATAGTAAGGCTTAATTTTTCAGTATCAACATGTTCATATTGTTAAGGAGTATATAAGCTTCATCCAAAAAAAAATTGTCATAAAATAATTGTAAAATTCGTGCTACATTTTAAAACGTACTAATAGTTTTCCATAACTTTATGTATTTTCATGTGGTCCATATTATTTTTAATACATGTATAATACTACTAGCGGGATTTATTATGTATACACATATTGATGCTAATAGTGCGCTAATTTTACTGCACTATTCATTAATAGGATTATATAATACTTGTGTATAGAACATTTCTAAAATATAAATGTTCTAAATTAATATTATATTTTATAATCTACTTCGTTGAAAATAAATTTTCATTGCTTTTACGCCTTTTTTGATTATGTAAATTTTTTTATTGTTTGGCGCTAACAATGATATGATGCTTAAGTCACAATATACAATTAGACAGCTTTAATTAGTGAATCTTACGAGTTCACATTTTGTGAGATACAAGGTCTAAAAAATAATATGCCACAATGTTATTCATTGATATTCTACAAGTGTAGGTAATGGTATATTTTTGAACTTTTAATATATATTTTATTAAAAATGGACGATGATATTGAAAATGAAACACTTGAACACTTGGAAAATAAAGTATATATTGAATTTTTTCAAAAACACATATTCACCAAATTTTAAGTTTATATTTTAAATCTCATTCAACTATCCATAGAAATAATTTTCTAAATGATCAAAATTATATTGTGAATATTTAATTGTGTTCATAGGTTGCATCATCTGTGTTGTCAGGGCTATATTCGCATTATAAATTATTTGATGCATTTAAATCTACAAGCAGTGCCCATAAAATATGCGATGAAGAAAACTATCCCCATAAACTATCTAAGCTTGATGAAAACGTAGTTTCAATTTGTCATAACTTAGAAGAAATATTAGAAAATTTTGATAATTATTGTACATTAATTGATAAAACTAATCATATTAATTGTTGTGAACACTTGCTATATTGGATGTATGGAAAAATAAATAAGGAACAGTGGGATGTATTTAATATTCAATGGATCTACTTTAAATTTCACAAATTACTTAATAAAAACATTTCATTTAATACTCAGTATAAATGCAATCCAGAATTTTTGAGAGTGTTAGATAAGGGATTATTAAAAAATAAGAAATCACTATATGACTTTTTAGAAAACTATGATGCAATAAAAAAAGCTTTGGATAATGAGTTGGGTAATAATAATTATTATTGCAAATATATAAAGAAAATTTTTCTGTTATACCAAAAATTGGTAAAGGAGCCTGGTTCACAATCTATTCATGCATATAAACATGAAATGAAGCGTTTTAAGGAAAAAATTATAGATGATGAGTTAGGGTTTATTACAGAAAAATGTAATAAAGATTCTCAGATACCCTTATTTGATAATGAAACTAAAGTCTTAAATGCTTTAATTAATGGACAAGAACAAGATATCAAAATAATAGAAGAAAGAACGAAGAATAAATATATTGTAGATGTAAGATTCGCCATTTTTCGATTACTAGAATAATTATATTGTCATTTCTATTAAAGTATATCCTTTTATATATTTATCTAAATGTTGTAGTTTTAGTGATTATAAATTTTTAATTGTCAGAGAGATGAAGTTTTTACATATTCATATATACATATTTTTTTATTTATTTTGTAGTACGATATTTTTCGTGATTTTGATAAATATATGGAGTATATTAATTTGGTTAAATCAGAAAAAAATAGTTATTCATCGCACGCAGATCATTACTGTGAAAATAACATGAAAACAGATATTCTCCAGAGCAAAGAGATTAAAAATGTGTGCAAACATTTTATATCATATATTTCTTATTTGTCTTTAAATATTAATGAATATAATCCAAGATATAAAAAATACTTTGGATTTTTGAATTATTGGTTAAACAATGAATTAAAAAATACTGATAAGTGTGCTACCGACTTCTTAAAAATCCTAGAAAATTCCGTGGATAGAAGTTTTGTTGCCTTTAAGGATTACAGTATGTTTAAGAACTATGTATATAACATCGATGGGGAACTCCGTGAAGAAATGGATATACTGTATAAATTGTACAATAATTTAAATGTTATTATATCTTCTAAAGAAGAAAAAAAATGCCAAGAAAATGGTAAAACATTTATACATAAATTTGAAGAAGGTATCAAGAAATATAATCTGACAAGAAATAATGATTTTTATGTAGAATTGATGAAGGTATGGTCTAGATACATTAATGCAAAAGTAAAACACCAATTTTGCAAAAATAACAGTTTTCCTGAATCTCCAAAAATGAGCAAATTAAATCATGAAGTAATATTATCATATCTCTCAAAAACTTCAGAATTATGTGAAACATATACAAATCAAAGGTTGCCCATCTTATCACATACGAATGAAAAATATGTAAATGATTAATTTTTTCTGAAACCATTTTTAAAACCATATATTTGAGTAATTTTTATACATCTGAACGATAAAGTGTTACTTAAAAAAAAAAGTAAATGGTATATATGATTTTTTTTATTTTATTTTTTTTATTTCCAGGAAGGAATATTAAAAAGCTTAAGCACATCGGAAATATATAAAAAATTAAATAGTGTTACTGCTGATGTGGACACATGCGTTCAGTTTTGTACTGATGTAATTAATATAAATAATTCAGATGAAAAAACGAATGAAATTAAAAAATTTTGCCCTCAAATTGCAGCAAATATAAGAAAATTATCAGAAACATTAAAAGAAACAAAATCACCGTATGACCGTTGTACGTATTTAACTTATTGGGCATATGAAAATATAATGAATGTATATAGTAATAATTTGGACAATATTAATAATAAAACTTTAATTAATGAACTTAGCAAAGTAGTTTTCATGGCTAATAGTGAATTGTCTAAAGAGAATCAATGTCTATTTTACTTTTATGGTGATATTTCAGAATTGAAAAATGAAAAACATTTACACGATTATTTTAAAAATTATAGCGAAATTAAGGATTATATTACTTCTATTGAAGATAATAATCGTCACGCTTATTGCGAATATCTTAAACATATTAATGAACTTTATAAAAGTTACATAGGTAAGTGCTGCATTTGTTTTTCCTATCCAGAACAAGCTTGTTCTGAGAAGTGTCCAAAATATTTTAGATGTGATAAACAATATTTTCCCAGTGATCTTATGTCCACGATTGGGTGTCAAAGTGAACAGATTCAGGAAACCATAGAAGATGTTTTCAAAAGTGTAACGCTTGATCATGGAATTCAAAAATATACTCTACTAAAATCTTTAAATTCAAACACAGATTTACATCAAATTTCAAATGAAATTTCACAGCAGAATTTATATGAAAATCAATACAAAATTTCGGAGCAAATATCAATATATGATCCGTTTAATGATATAGTATTATCATCTTTTGGTATTCTTGGAATTTTCCTTACATTTTTTGTCTTTTATAAAGTAACTACAATTTGAACTTTAAAATTCATATAAATTATCCCACTATTTATGTGTTGTACTCATTAAAAATTTCATTTATGAAAATTTTTTATCATTTTCATTTTATATTATTATTTTAATATTAGTTCACACCGTTGGGTTCCTGGTTTTATAGAAGGAAATATAAAAATAAAAATATTTCAAAAAATATTCAGAAAATAAATCCAAAAATTGTGAAAGGTAATAAATCACAAGGTAGCCTGGTAAATTCTCAAAAAAAGCGAATTCGTTTAGCTTATCAATCATCATGAGTTTTCTTTCGTTAAGCTAACACCGAATTATCACAAAAAATAAGCATTTAATGAGTAAATAGAAGCATCTCCATATGAGAATTTTATTGGAGAAATTTAAATGCACTTGAAAAAGCTTTTTACCTCCTAATTTATATATTTAATTTTATATTTTTCCCATGTTAATAATAAAACATAGTATATAATTTTTAATTATAATATAACTTATTTTCACTCTAATAAATTTTCGCTATTATAAATATTAAAAAAATGTATGTCACTTAATGTGCTTATAATTAAATCATTTTTTGTGTTTAATAATGTTTTTTTCATGCATTTAATAGTAAAACTAGGAATTATGTGAAGTAAATAATTTCACATATTGCATTATAGCCAAAATAATCTGAATTGGCTAATTTTTTGTTTGGTGATGTGCGGATACTTTAATTATAAAAGTAGTTCTTCACGTATTCATAAAAATTATACACTATAATATATATTATTTTTAATCTTAATAGAGTATTTAACAGAAACTATCATATTAATATGTTTATTAAAATGTGATTTTGTGATGATTGACATGCGAAAAATAACATATATTCATTTTTTTATAAACAATGTTGACAAAATTGATTATTATTAAATTAGTTTTATTTCAAATTTTTACTAGTATTTGAAAAAACGTTTTTTGTTTTATTTTGAACTGTCATAATGTTATTTATTAAAAATGTTTTAGATCTTCATAATTAAGAATACATTTACAATATGTTATAATACTTTGCTGTAGGATGTAATTAATTATATTTTTAATTTTTTTACTTCTAAAAATTTTCATTTTCACAAAAAATTTTTTTTCTTACCTTTACAACAGTAGCCAAAAATGTTTACTATATAAATTATTAAATTTTTAGTTAAAGCGTTGCTCATACAACAAATATTAAAAAATTTCAAAAGGACACATAAATTTGTATGAGATAAATGTGCAAATTTCTTATTTAATAAGAATTTAATGAACATTTTTCAGCGACATGCTTTATTTCGAGAAATAGTGTATATTATTAAAAAAAAAAAAAAAAAGTGATATACTATAGTAGTAATGTAAAAACACAACAATAATCTGTTAAATGTGAAAAAGAAATTATTGTATACATATCACAAATTATGTGAATATTAATTGTAATCATTGATATATACATATAACGATAGTAAAGACTAGGCCCTTATTCGATTTATAACTATATTTAATATTTATCACTTTTTAAAAAAATAAATGTTAAAAAAATTCATCCAATATACTAACAAAAAAAGTATTAACATAAATAAAATGGGAAAAATTTTAAAAATATATTTGAATTAGTTCATCCTATAAATTCATGTTTACTGTATACTTGATTTAATATGTGCATATTATTACTCCAATAATGACTAATAACAATGGATGAATAAAATATTTAATGCATATTTTACATTTTTATCATAAGAAATGAATAAAAATTAAAAAAAATTACATTTTATCATATGAATTAATTCATTTTATAATTATTCATTTTTTCCAATATATATTTAATTCTGATCTTAATATTTGAAGATAACTAAAGCGTAATAAGCCTATAGTATGTAACATATGTTCTATATAGAATATTTATAGGATTCCTTTTAATAATAATTCAAAGAAATATAGGATTTATATTTCAATTTTCCTTTAATTTATTTTAGTGTAAGTTCAGCATAAATAGTAGTAGCAATTAGATAGCTTAGGAATAATATTATTATTACGAAATGTTTAGTTAATATTATTCAGATTTTACCTGGTACTATGAGCATGCTATAAAATATATACAACAATTCCATAACAATATAGTTCATTATTAGATTAAATTTAATATAGTAAAATGGAAAATTGACATATATTAATTATTATTCTGAGCACAATAAATTAATGGTATATTACTCAATATAAAATTTTGATCATGCTTATATTAACATAAAACTTCAAATGTGTTTTGTACTTATGCATAGATATATTTGTTTTATACTTATAATTTTGAATTTTTCTTCTTTCATTTTTTTAATTGCCGTAACACTGTAAGATGTTATTTTCTATCTACAGTTACATATGATTAGGTTAAATGGATATATGCATATATATATTAATATTCTAATGGTTCTCCAAAAATAAGATAAATTTTTATGTTTTCATAATCCCTATAGTTGATAAGGTGTATATATGTAATTATTGTACTACATATCTTTTCGGTTTTTATTGATAAGTGTAATAACAAAATTGTTTAATATAATTAAAATTATTATATAATAATTGTGTAAATATAAGGTGCAAAAAATATATATTCTTTTAATGCACTGAAATATTTACTTACGTTAAAATTATATGCTATCTCTCTTCTTTTATTCATACATATTGAAAATATTTTCCATATTTCTTAATTATCATGCAAAAAAAAAACATATTTATAGCTAAGCTTAAAAGGCAATAATTTTTACTGCAAAGATATAAAAATATGTAAATAATAAATAAATTAAAAAGATTATTACATATTAAATTAATATTTTTACTATTAACGGAAATATATATAGGTCAGAAATAAAAAATATTCTTGCAATTATAATATGCTTATTTTTATATATACTTTAGGATACACTTCATCCACGATATAAAAACGTTAATATGAAAATACTTAACATGCCTATTGTAAATGAATATAAATAATCTGTCAAAAATAAATTATTCTATAAATATTAACACGTTCAATATTATAATGATGGAAAACTATAAAAATAAAATTGCATAGATTTTTAGCACCATAGGGATATAGTTATTCTAAATATTTAAATGAAGAAAAATACATATTTTTTGACGTACTTGAATATTTGACTAATATATTATAATATAAATTCTTATGGATATGTAAATGAATTGTATTTATTAAAATATGCAATTAAATTTGTTCATTATCTGTAACTAGTTGCAATATCAGGGAGATTGGATAGTATATACAATATCAATATAAAAAAATAATATATAATAGAATATGGAAAAAAACATGCAGAATATATTTACATATATATATATTTATTTTGAATAGAATTATTGTGAACGTATTGTTTATATTAGTAAATTTAATTTCATAAATAGCAACCAGTGTAAAATATTTTTTTTGTAAATTATGTAATAATTAGCATGCATAAAATGTAAATTTAAAAAATGAGGAACTTAACATAATGCAACAACTAATTTGAAACTATTTCACAATTTTCATTAATTTGTATAATTTTTTCTTTAAAATTTTTATTTTTAGCACATACATATTGTTACTTATATTGTTAATTCTTATTACTATATTAAATTTTCCAATTTGTGAAAAATAAAATAATTTTTTTTTCTTGAGCTATTAAATATATAAATATATGTTCCGTTTCACCACAGATTAACATTAAAATATATATCATTATAGCAACCAAAGGTATTATACCTTTATTAATTAGTTATGCATATGCACATTATCATACATGTAAAGAAAAGGTAAAAGAGTTATATAAAAGCATTTGTACATGTAGATCTATATAGAATAAGGTTATAGAGTAGAGATATTTTTTAAATATAATACGAATAAAATAACAATTATATTTTATATTTCCAATAAAAATAAAAACTTATGTGACGTCTTGTTTCTTATTAGTGCATTGCAGAAAAAAAAATGTTCATTTTCTATTATTTATTCTTTACATAATATCTTTTAATAATAAAAATATTTTATTCATTTTATGATGAATAAAATTGTTTTTGCTTTTCAACTTATATTTATTGTGAATACTAATTTATATTTTTTTTTTAAATATATGAAAAATCAAGACATATACAATGTAGTTACCTGTGTAAAATAATTAATATTTTATTAATAGTATAAAATAAGCAATAGGATGAAAGAGTATACTTAGGCTCATGGAGTCTTCCAAATAATATTAATTAAAAAGTTTAAATATGTAAATACAAGTGTATTAATGAATGTTAATATTTTCTTTTTAATATTTGATAAAAATGATGAAATATATATAATATTAAATTTCTTACCTTTTTATAAATACTAAATTTTATATAATAATAAGTAATATATCTTTTTCTAATTATACACTATTTTCACATTTTAGCATGAAAGGTGGAATGCAATTTTTAATTTAATATATAATCGAAAAGTATTTTTTTTTTAATGGATTTAAAATAATTCCTTACATATATATCACCAATAGTGTTATTTTTACACATAAAATAACATGTAAAAACAAATAGCATATCCTCATCAAGCACATTTATACAAACAAATAAAGAATTATCAATAATGGCAGATATAGTAAATAACACTTTATTAAATTAGGAATTTGTATATATTTTTTTTCATTAAAAAAAAATGAGTACAAATAAAGTTATATAAATACTCAAGAACAACACAGCCCTTATTATTTTATTTATTCCTTCTAATTCTTAGAGTGACGAATTAATCTGGCTGTCTTCTTCTTATAATTATAGAAGATTAAATGGGAATGCTTACAAATCATTTGATGATGCCGATGAAATAAAATGTGAAGTTTTGCACATAAATTTAGGGAAGAAATACTACAATTTTATGGACTTTTGCATGAAAATTACAGGTATTTTAAAAAAATTTAATGTGTTGTCATTTACAGGGACAATTGATATTGATAAATGTACAATAGTGAATATATGGATGTATGAACAAATATATAACATGCTTAAAGTAAATAGTGAAACCAACGCCAGCAAAGTTATTAATGAGTTACGTAATATTTGGAATAATTATTCTCAAACTATTCATTGTGATATACGTTCAGATTTAGGAAATATGGATAATTTCACTCGTTATAAAAAAATTTATGACCATGCTATAAATTATGAAAGTATTCTTTTACACCTAGTAAGTAAAAATTATGCATGTACGAAAAAGTTTAAAGATTACTTGGTGGAAATTGATAACATATATAACACCTTAAAGGGTACCGAAACTGCGGATGATATTACAAGGGAGAAGGTATTACAATATTTTGGTAAGGTTCATAGAGAAAAAAAGTTATCACCTTCACAATGTTTAAAGGTAATAGAAGAAGCACCTGTTTCAAGTAGAAATGTAGAAACAATGAGTTCTCCTAAAGAATCAGAAGAAGCATTGGGACATCGCGCAAAAGGAAAATCGGAATTACAAGAACCATCAATACTTTTAACTACAGAAGCAGTCCAGGCATCAGATAAGCCTTTCAATGTTTCTTCTGTTGTTATTCCACTTTTATTAATTCCAATAATTTCATTTATTTTATATAAAGTAAATAATAATTTCATAAAAAAATAAAAACATCCAAAACATTTAGTCCTAAAACATCTCTACTATACATAGACAATTAACATATAAATATACATATTTTTTTTATTATATATATTACTTCGATTAGTTTACCCCAGCAAAGGTATGGTTGGATTCTCTATATCAGAAGAGAAACCAAGTTAGAAGTTTTTTGTATGGAGAAGATTATAAGGATTATTTAGAAAATATTTACGAAATGGGTAATAATAATCATCAAATGAAAAGCCATGAAATTGGTTATCATCCTGTATGAACAATCCATTCCAAAATTGTAAGCGCTATTATTTTCTTATTAAAATATTATTAATTTATATAAAGAGATTTTCGTTAGAGAAACATTCTAATATATATAATAAAAATTCAAATACATGTTCGACGTAATTTTATACAAAATACATCAAACAGAATGCCTTTTATCAATATAATATTGCAGGAATAGTTATAAATTTTTTGATTTCTACTAGAAGCACCAAACGCAACAAATATCAATATTATGGGTAAAAAATTACAGAACAAATTACTGTATGAGAAATCCATATATTCGATGAATAAGACGAAAACATGCATAAATGAAGTGTTCATATTTTTTTATAAGTAACATGATATTAATATTTTTCCTTAACATAAAATATAATAATCTACGTTTTAATAGCAAAATATGATGCAATGTTTCATTTCAAATATGGCATAAAGTAAATGTACCATATGAAGATTTAGAATATATCAATAGAGAATAATCATGCAGATAAATCAGAAAAAATTGTAATTTATTTTATTCATTCTATTGGAATTATATATAGAACAGCGTAGTTGATATAATATGTTAGAAATTTAAATATTGAAAAATGTAAGGACAAAAAGGTTACATATATATTATGCATTCAGAAATATATTATTCAATTAGTATATATAAAATTATTTATATAATTATTTACATTACTGAACAAATAAATAAAAAAATTCCTATTGTTCGAATGTAAAACATTATATATATAATGCTTTTAACTAAATAACATTTTACAAAAAGAAATGGTTAAACATGTCTTCTTATGTCATACACCATTTTCATATAAGAAAAATATTATAGATATATTAAAAATTATTTTCTGCTACATAATAAAATATATGAATAAAAAATTTATTATATAAGGAATATATTTATACCACATATTATGTTGTACTGCAGCAAAATCTTATTGTTACGACAAATACACGTCTTAATATATATGTATTTCTATAACAAGCACAAAATTATATAGAAATAGTGCTAATGAAATTTATGCAAAAATTTCTTTCTATGTAATGCATAATTGAAAAATGTAGATAAAAATACATTGAAAAATAAATTGAATTATCTAATGCATATTTATAAATGACTAAATCACAAAATTATGTTGCGGAGTAATCACAGAACCATGAACCCTTAATGAGTGGATATCGTGCTTTATATCGTCCACTGTAAAAGATAACAAAATAAAATTTATGATCAGCTATTCACAGTGATACATTAATATTATATTTTTATTCTTTTGTTTAATGAATAGATATTTATTTTCGCATCTTTGCTATAACAGGTTCTGTTTAATATTTGTATTTTATTTATTATATTTGCATATATCTAGTATGCCTTCTAATTAAATCAAAAGTATAAATTTTAAAACATCACTTATTTAAAAAATAATATAAGCATGCATCTCAAGATATGGATTCATGTAAAAATACGAATTCATGCAAAAATAAGAATGCAATGTAACTCAAGCTTTTTATTAGTATGACCACCACATGCGGTATTCCGTTTTTAAAGCTATTTTATATTAAATATACATATAAGAAATAAGAACATATTTGATATATGCAAAATTATTAAATCATGAATCTAAAATATAATAATAATTTTATCATTTTCTCATGAAATATTTATAAGAATACAAAATTTATCCTCATTTGGAGCTAATGATAATATATGATTACACATATACTCTTAAGGATACAACAAAAACAATTAAAATGCTTTAATTTGTTTTTATTACATTAAAAATGTAATAGTTAACAGAAATAATTTTTATCAAATAGTTGTTGCTATTTATAAAGCATTACATAACAACAGATAATTGATGAATTATATGTGTATATATAACTAGACAAACAACGTTAAAACATTAATAAATTTTTAAAAATACAAAAAAATTATTATATCTATAATGTAAATTCTAAAATACAAAAACATATCAATCATTTGAAAGAATCTTTTTTCACTGATTAATTTACGCATATCGTTTATGTCTTATTTAAATGGATGTATTAGAATATTCTTTTCCAACTATTATTTTAATTGCATATGAAGAAATGGTATAATAAATATGGTGTATTACATGACGCTTTTTATCTATATTTAATACTATTAACTTTTTCCCTTCATTGTTATATTCGACGAAAAATTTGTAACGTCTTAATATATATTTTCATGAAATGAATAAAACTTTATGAATGTATGATAATATTTTTTCCTCAATTTATTTTAAAATATGTTTTTTTATTTATATCACAATTCGTAACTCAAGCATTTATTTACTTCTTAATTTTCTCTTTCACTATCTCCATTTAGAGCCATCATGTTTATAATCACCCTAATTTTTTTCCTTTTAGTTTATATAAAGTTATTGCATATTATTAGCTATTTATAAGTTTTTTATCATCATTTCCCCTTTATCAAGTATTGTTAGCGAAATATATCTCCACTATGTTGGTAAGCTATGTTAACTCTTCTCCTTTGGGAATTTATCTGTTTCGATCTTGATCTTTGATCTAACATCTCTTTTTTATATTTTAGGTTATGATTATAATAAACCTTTTTATTACTCCTTTTCTTCCTGTGTATCCAGGTTCTAAATGGAGTGAACTGTTTTAAAAATAAAATATTTTTTATTCACAAGTATATAATTAAATTATTTTGCAATTATCATTTTTTATATAAAATAAATAATAAATGGGAATATATAATAATTATCATTTAATATGATATTGAATTTACTTTGTAAAATATGAAAAAAAATAATGACATTCCTAATAGGACAAAAGCAGACAATGTAATAGGGTAGAATGGGTCATATTCTGAAATATCACCTAATATCGTTGTATTTCTAGATTTATAAAAATTTTTATATAACAAATATTCCTTTTCTGATTTCTCCGTTATATATTTAGAATAGTAATCAATGGGTTCAGGTAAATCTACTTTTTTAAAATTATTATCAGAATTTTCGTTATTGCAGTTCAAATGTAAATAGAGATTATATGGATTATACTTTTCATCACACATAAAATATTCTGGTCTCTCGTTAATATATCCTTTATTGCTAAAATAAGTACAACTCTCATTTATATATTTTCCATAAAGCTCATTAATATTGAATAAATCTTCACATTTTATTTTACACTTGTCCATAATCGGTTCATCCTTTTTTCCAATAGTACAATCATAATTCATAAAATAATCATGAAGAATTTTCCATTCCTTCCATTCATCTAATGTATAATCAAAAAACACATAGCAAGGTTTGTAAGTAAATTCTCTCATGTTAATGTTGTTTACTACCTTATAAAGTTCAATGATTACAGGATTATCTTTTTCATAATTTGCTTTAATATTTTCTATGCTCAACACTTGTTCATATACCCAATGAATAAAATAAGAACACCCAATATTATGTTTTTCTTCATTTTCTAAATTAGACACATATATTAGGTTTCTTGAAAGTTTTTCACACAGGTTACATACTTCATTGTTACTTCCATATAGGTTATATATATTCTCACAATACTCTTTATACTTCTCCGTGTTCTCATTCTTGTTGTATTCATGGTATAAATTATAAAAAGGGACATCTTTTAAAGTGTTGTCCTAAAATTTAATCCATAAAAAAAAAAAAAAAGATAACAGATATATGATAAATATAAATAATAAAATTTTATATTTTTACAAATTAGTTATTAAAATTACAAGCATGTATCTATAAATAAAGAAAATTATTAAGGACATCTCTTTATTTTTTCATATATTCACTTAAAAGTCCACATACAGTGAATTTTTTTTTACGAAAAGTTGTCTCAATCTTGTGTCCACGTACGCTTGTTGTTTCATGATCTTGTTCTGCACAAAATGTTGTATTTTTTTCGTTGATTATTAAATTCAAAGTAGTATTACATTTACTATTTATTAAATCTAACTCACCTTTATCCTTAAATTTTTCTTCAAAAATAATTAATTCTGGACAGTACTCTTTTCTACCATTTTGCATTTCAACTTTTTGGTATAAACTTATAATATATTTTAAATACTCACAAACTCTTTTTTTTTTTTCACCATTTTCAACTTTATCTAATAATTCTTTTATGCTGCTAAAATGTTCTATAAAGTCATATAAGTGTTTCTTATTTTTTAACACACTCATATCATATGATTTTACAAAAATTTTATAAAGATCGTTTTCCGCACCCTTAGAACACTTTTTTGTAAAAAGTTTCTTAAATGTGTCATAAAGATCATGAATTGTTATAGCACTGAACTTATTTTCACTTAATTTACCATATAGCCAATATATCAAATAATTGCAACATTTTTCCTTGTCTAATTTTAAATCATCTAAAATTGCATCCCATTCATTTAGCATACTATAAAAAACGCAGCAAATCTTAATGCTTTTTGGATCATTTGATGCTTTACATTTGTCGCAATTATTATCGAAACTCGATCCATCATCTAACAAATAATAAAACAAATGCGCATTCAATGGTTCTGTATAAATATGCTATAAATAAAAATAAGAGCACTTTTAATACTATTACAAGGACATAATTTTTTAAAAAATATATATTTTTTTATAGACACAGGATATATTAAAATAAGTATTTATGAATAATAATAATAATAAAATGTAGAAAATTACATCCTTGTTCAATAATTTAACAATTTCATGAATTTGTTGATCATCCATATTAATGAAATGATATAATAGAATTTATAATGTTCTTTGTATTCCTTAAATAATACTATACAATTTATTGTAATACTTATAAGATCAAATAATTATCTATAAAATAAGAATAAGAACATAAAAAGACAATTTTTATATAGGAAGACTGCTTATAAATTTAATGGATTTTACTAATATTATATAGAACAATAAATTAAAAAAAAAAATTGAGATATCTTATGTAGTCCTAAACATAGCCTTCTCATTAACTAAATAATATATGATCATTACATCTACGCAAATAACTATATAATATTATTGGTACGTTACATAACAAAGATATCTGTTCATTAATTGAGCATACACATAGTACTATTTTTCACATGATGGCTTTTGCGATATGTCTAGTGAATTTGTTCTGTGGTTTATATATAAACGTAAATATTACAGTATTTTCCTATTTCTGTTAATCAGTAAACTTCCTTTTATATATAAGTTTATATCAAAACAATTACTACATAGATGTCCTTTTTGACTTTTACATTGTTGCAAAATATATCTAAAATCATAAAACGAGTTGGCATTATAAGAATATAATTATATATACATGAATATGTATATCAAAAAGGAATACTATGAAATGTTAAATAAAATACTTAAAAAATAAAGCATTTTCTCAAGACAAATAATATATATTAAAAAATGAGCACCTTTTTAATTTGTTATGCATTTATGGAAAAATTAGCCACATATTACTAATGCATATTGTTTTCCTTTTTTCCTAAACATTTAGAAAAAAAAAAAAAGGTAGCTCACACTTTATTTTATATTACAGTGAAATTGTGTGTCATATTATATACAAATTTTTCTGTAACAATGTTGATAAACATAACTATCCAAAAATGTACACACTTATATGTAAAAAAAAAATTTTATTTTTTAAATTATAACGCGTTAGAAAGGTAAAACAAAAGAAAATATATATTTGCTGTACTTTTAGCTTCATGAAAGTTAAAACAATTGATATAATCTATAAAAACATTTTAGGGTACAATCATAATAAAAAAAAATGTATTAACTGTTTTGCTATATTATTGTGGAAAATATAAGTAACTACCTATCACAGTATTGTCATATATGTTCCTATTTTAATTTTCCCTTTTTGGATGTACTTTATTTTTAGAATCCTCTTAAAAAAATGCATTAAAAGGGGTTCTTCTTAAATAACAATATAAGAATGAATATTCTTTGCATCTTTTGAGGACACATTTTTACTATAATATTCATAGGAACACACGATATCATTAAGTATTCTATATTCAAAATAAAAATGTTGTAATGGTATTAACCTGTGAAAGTATTTAATGCTTATTTAAATGTTCATATGCAATCCATTGAATCAATGTGAATTAACATCCTTACTACAAAATATATTTTTTTTAATTAATTGCGAAAATTTTGTGAAACATTTTTTCTTTTCAATAGCTTCCTCGAAAAGTATATCTTTTCAAACGTTCTACAGGATTGGTATAACTATGACATGTATATTGTTTAACCTATTAGTAAAGCAAAAATAACTTTTTTTATTAATAATTTCACGAGTTCCGCATGTCTCGTCAGATGGCCAAAAAGGAAATGAGTTATTGTAATAAATTAGAGAACGCTTTATTTTTATTTATTACTGATAATTAAATGTTTAATTTATTTTATATTTTGATTTTTATAACATTTTTTACTTACGTGAAAAATGAGAGATGAAACAATATCGATAACGGCATAATAATATGGAATTAATAAAAGTGTTTAAAAATAGTTGTGGTTACGAATTCGCATTTCATTACATTAGTTCATAAAATGTGTTATATAAAGCTATGAACTAGTGCAGTTTCTTAACAAAAATAAATAATGAATTTTTATTAAAAACATTCTTTAAGTGAAATAAAAATAAAAACAAAATTTTACAAAAAAAAATGTGTGAATTATTTAATAAAATATTTAGCATAAAAATCAAATTAGATAATTGTACACTTAAAAAAAAATATAAATATGTTTGCTGAAAAACAAATAATAAACCAATTTAATATACTAATATATATTCTTATGGACGAACTGTATCTTTTCTAAAACTAGTAATATGTTTCATGTTTCATTGTTATATATAAATATTTTATAAAACCTTTGTATATGTCATTTCAAAACTTTTCAACTACTTTTAAGCATATAAAGGGTTAAATCCGTTGCCGTGCGTCGATAGATTAGTATATATATTTAATTTTACTTTAAAATAATTAAAAAAAATTGGGGTTACAAATAAGTAACTTGTATATTGTTTCCACATATTCTTGTTATATATCTAATGTTTCCTTAAGTATGATTTGGACAGTCGTTATAAGGCTTAATTTTTTAAAACTTATTTTTGCTATAAACGATTAGAAAGAATTTTTCTGCTGTTAAATAATATTCATTTTAATAATTTTACAACCTATATTTGTGTAACTATGCATTTATCAATTTAATCATTATTAAAGTTGTATATTTCATTCTTTGTTTATCTTGTCGCCAATCAGAGTAGCAGAAAAGTTTTTACTATATCCATCTTAATGCAATTTTTATGAAACACTATGTATTTCTAAATCGAATATGTAAAATTGGTTTAATTGTTCTGATAAGCTATTTGTATTCGTTTGCTTTTTGATTTAAAATTATCGGATTCTCGTCTTCTTTCTGATAATCTCTCCATATATTCTTCCTGCATGTTATATCTAATATTTTTTTCCCTTATTTTATTTTTGTGCAACCAAGTTCCAAATGGTGTAAACTAAAAAAATAATGATAAAAGTAAAACGGACTTGATATATTTAATTCACAGTTAAAAATTTATAAGAAAAATGAATTATCCTTATATATATACATTTACCAAAATTTGTGATTGAATTCTTACTTTGTAAAACACAAAAAACGCGAAGAAAATTCCGAGTACGCTAAAAACAAATAACACAATGCTGTAAAAGGGATCTTTATGTTCTAATTTTACAGATGGACTTGCTAATTCTTTAGATACCAATATAAGATCATTTCTGCTTACTGTTACATGTTTAAATAATTCTTCTACGTTTTTAACGGGTTCTTCATATTCACAACGCAACAAGGAAATTAGGTCGCCAGGATAATAATCTTTACTGCACTTAAAGTATTCTTTACAATACTCAGAACAATTTTCAATACCAGAAAAACAGGAGCAGCACTTTGGTAAATGTTTTTCATAAAGATCTATTATGTAATTAATGTACTTACAGTAGTCTTCTTTATTTTCTACTTCGTTATTGCTGTCAATAAAACCTTTAATTGTATTATAATATCTAAAATAATAATACAAATGTTTTTTTTCTTTTAATACTTCTTTACGCTCATAGGGATTATAATGAAACAAACACTCGGTGATATTTAACCTATATATAATATCGTAAACTACTTTTAGAAATTTAAGAACATCAGGCTTTTTCTCAATATATTCTAAATTTTTCCTGAATAAATTCCATATGTTGTCAGATAACCAATAGTAAAAGTTTTCACAATATTCATTTCGTTCATCTTTCTTACTTTCTAAAGCTATATCTTCTAAATTCTTTGAAACCTTCGCGCAAAGTTCTCTCACACCAGGAAAATGTGCCTCTAAATTACAAATATCTTTACAGTATTTTTTGTAATCTGAATATTCCACACTATTAAATTTCTCATATTTATCTAATACATTGAAGGATTTTAAAATGTTATGCTGTAAATTAAACACAAATATTAAGACATGTAAATAATAAATTGTTCACATGAAAAGAAATTTATTAGTGTTTTAAATATAATTTTTGTCATTTATATGTGGAATTATTAATTTTTTTTTAAATTTTATTTATAACATACAAATTTATCTATTTTTTCATGATCTATAGCTTCTAGACTCTTCAACATATTTTCACAAGATTTAGCTTCTCCATCATGGGTAATTCCCTGATTCGTCGAAGCGAATGATTTGAATTTTGGTAGTTGCGGCAACTTCACATATTTACACGATTCGGAATTATATATACCATTTGAGTATAAATGGCTAAATTCTTTTAATGCATTAAAAAATTCTTTATTTTTGTCTTCTTCATCATATTGATTTATAGCTTTTCTTAATATTTCAACGCATTTATTTCCATATTCCCGGCATTGTGTTTTCCTTTGTCTCTCATCGATTATTTCGTGTTCAATTTTATTGTAATTATCATACAAATTATATAATACATCTAATTTATTTAAATCTTCCAAAGAAATATCATTTAGTATACCACTTAATATATCATCTTCATCAAATTTTCCTCTATTACTATTCATATATTCATAAAACTGTTCCCTAAATTCATCAGGTTTAGTCATTCCTCTTAATTTTTTACTTAACCAAAAATTTAAGAACTCACCATAATTACAACCAATATTTCCAGTTCCAAACATGTCAGTACGTAATGCCATAAAAAATAATATAAAATGTTCACAAAGATTTCTTGAATCATCGTCCCAGTTACTAATGAAAGTTTTAGCATTGTTGCAAATTTGAGTAAATGCCCTCATACCAGGGGTATGCTTAGACGAACTCTCATTCTTTTTATATATGTATAAATTATCGAACACGTGATACTATAAAAAAAATATAAGAACGAATAATAATATAATTAAAAAAAAAGAAAATTATTTTTATTTTTTTTTAATTATTCTACATTAGACAAAACTATTTTAAAAAAAAAAAATTTTATTCATAAACACTTTCAAAAACTATTACTCTAATGTCTGTTCCTTCTCCATCAGGACTCAGAGGAATATCACCATTATTATGTAGCGTACTCTTCAAATAACACCCAACATTTTTATATTTTGTTAATGTAATTTTCTTATTATAATCACGTTCCCTAGTTGATGCACAATTTACTTGAGAACCATGCGTAACTGATTCTAAAGGTGGAAATTTTTCTTTTAATTCATCTGACTTTAATATATAAGTTTTGTAATTTTCCTCAAAATTTTTTAATTCGCTGCAAAGTGTACTCTGATTTTTATTACTTCCATTACAATGACTTTTTTTATATTTATTATATGTTTCAATACAACTACGTACATAGTGGCAGAAATAATTATACTTTTCAGTGATTGTTTCGTTAATTTTATCTTTAGTAGAATCAATATGCTCATTAAAATTATATAATTTTATTAAATTCTCAAATTCTTCTTCATTTGTAAACCAATCAAAGCTACAATGATACTTATCTGTAATATCATTTGTAACACGTCCTAATAAAACCAGTATGCGCTTTGCTGCCATAAAAACATAAGCATTTTCTTTTTTCATAACATATAACCAATTATTTAATTTTCTACACATATTGTCAACACTGCTATGGTCATCTCTTTCTTCTAATTGTTCTAATAATTCTATTTCGTTTGAAAAATTATAATCGATATTAGTTTCATTATAACCACTAAAATATTGTAGAACTTCATCGTGCAGCGACTTGTAATTATTAATGTCACCATTGTATAATGCTCTAGCAAAATCTTCTATAGACCATTCATTCAAAAGTGAACCCTAAAAATTGCAAGACAAAACAAACATATAAATTAATCAATACTTATTTAAAAAAAATAAGATTTTGAAGAATCTCTAACTAAATAAGACATTTAAATCAATTGATACAAAATTATAAACAATAATAATAACATACTTGACTAAATTCACTGTTCTCTTCCATTGAAATTTGATGTGTAAATTAAAGAGCATTAATTTAACCTATCTTAAAATATATATCATTTTGTATGGAAAATAAGTGGATAGTATTTTGACACGTGTTACATGTTTTTTTCTTCATAATTATAATGTGAAAATGAATGAAGCAACAGTAATAATTTTTTTTTTAAATTATTAACATTAGATAAATAAAATGATACTTTTAAAATTAGACAAATTAATGATATTCATTTAAAAATAGCGTAAAACGAAAAGGCATATAATATAAATTGTTTAACATTATATTATAAGATAAAATATACACTCTTTTAGCATGTACAAAATAATAGTGTTAATTTGTTATATAAATAAAAAAGTATTTTCATATATACTTGAGCATAAAATATAGAATTGTTTTTATCCCACTATTTTGGTTATATATGTACGAATGTTTTGTATATTTTTTATTGGAATTAATTGGGTCTAATTAATTTATTAATACTTTACAGGATTTGTGTAATTTATTTTTAAGTATTTATAAATATATATCTTTAAATATATTTTATTTTTTCTACATCAGAATATAAGGTCAACAAACAACCATTTTATACACATTATTAAAGAACATTGCGTTATAATGTTATATTATTATATAATATATGCAATATACCACATAAAAAAAATACTTTATAATACCTAATGTAAGCTTATCTCATGTATGAAATGTTTAAATCGTAGTTTCCTTTATTTCTAAATCCTTTATATTTTGTGGGAAATAAAATAATTTTCCTCGTTCCTGTTATTATTTCACTTAAGAAAAATTAATAAATTAATTAAGTTATGAAAATATTATATTATTTATGCACTTTTAGAAAGTACGAATACTGACATTTTTATAAATACCTTAAAAAAATATAAAATCCTTTTATGTAGACTATTAATTTCTGTGTTCTCAGGTGGATAAATCATGTTAACTCTGATAGATGATATATTTTGCATTGCAACACTCTTAAAAACTCAATCACCAAAATAAAAAAAAAAAAAAGAAACTTTCTTCAGTACAATATGCACATATTAAATTACAAGTGGCTTATAAAACATCTTTTTTTTATGAATAATTTATTATTATCATTAATAACTTATTTTCACTCAGAAAAAATAAAGAAAAAACTTTTAAGAATAAAATATTCTCCTATTTTTACATTGCATATAAATTATAATAAAATGACGAGCAATTTTTGTTCTCAATTTGAAAATAAAATCTAAAAAGAGGAGAATAATTTTAAAACTTTATATATAATTTTTTGTTTGTCTTGTAATTTCCACACTTTTCATTAATATTTTTAGTGAAGTGTCAATGCATTATCATTTCGAATTAACGTAAATATGCTTTAAATAAGAGAAAAAAAAAATTTTAAATTAGTTTTTTTTTTTTGCCACTACTATGGTAATGCGTCTTACGTGCCTCAAACAAATTGAACTTGTAGAAAATATTTAGTACGAACACTTTTTTTATAACATTAATAATGTATTTTTTATTGACTTTAACCTTTCTTCTGGTGTAGCTTACAATGCAATGCTTACGTGTTTCTATACATGAATTATGTCTTTTTAATCATCAATAAATGAATCTTAGTCTACTGAATTATCAAAGTTTAATATTGTGCATAACTATGATGAGTAAAACAATAATATTTTTTGTCGATTTCCCCTAAAATATACACTAATTGTTGTATCTGACATCATACATTAATATATAATTTTATGTGTCATAATGTTTTTAGAATTTTTCTTCAATAAATGATTCAGAATAATTTCACATTATTATGTTCCACTAATAGAATTATTATTGTACCATTAATCATTCATTAATGTTATTAAATATTCCTCAAAAGACAGAAATTCTTAATTATTTCAAACTATCGTTTTTATTAATATAAATATTCCCATTTGGGAGAATATCTCGCATCGCTCCGGACTAAAGCACTAGAAGTATAATTTTCCTAAAATTTCCAACTAATTTTTTTTGCTTTTCTAATACATATTTGTCATTTTCTTCTACATTATATTTTATTTAATCAAAATTCATATTCCTGAAAAGAACACTATGTTATATTTTTTTAAAAAAAGGAATATCTCAAGCATAGTAATTTAATTTAAATATAACAAAGTGTTGTAATATAAATTATGATAATATGTAAAATGTTTTTCGTTTTATTAAAAATAAAAGATGCCTAATCTGATAAAATTTACATAGTATGTTATGTTGGAATGCCATCTTCATCAATGCATATCTTCGACAATATTGCATATTAATGAAAAACATAATTAGTGAATTCTGTCTCATCTTAATATTAATTTTTAATTCTAGCTTCGTCTTAATATTAAGGTTTCAACAAAGTATAAATTAAGAATTTCATTCTACTTCATTAATATATTGAAATAAACTCAGAGGTATGATCTCTTTGTATCTATTGTCTTTATTATTACAGCATAACGAAAATATAATAACGCAGAAATAAAATCATTTTTCATATTTATGCTTAAAATGAAGTGTAATAATTAAAACATAAATATAATAATAAAACAAAAAACGAAATGTATTTTATAAAATTAACTTGTATAATCCAAAAAATAAATATTTTATATTATAATTGTTCTCCATAAATACAAAAAAAATATAAACTTAAAATAAAAATGTAAAAACGAAATAATATATTCATAATATAAACACATTTTTTTGTTAAAATATTCCTACGTCTATTTTTTTGTCCGACGCTAAAATGTGTCCTATATGAGATACGTGTGTGTATAGCTGTAATATATTATAATACTCCGCTATGTAGAAAAATATAAGATTGAAATATTTTTTTCATTTTGAATTATAAGTTATACTGATTCTTTTATTACGAGCACTTCCTTGACCTTGCCTTAACCTTGTAGATGATAACTTGTGTTTACAATTTTCCTGAAAATTACGTTTAATTTTCTTTTTATTGTGCATATTCCTATCAATCAATGGTCCTAAGGGTGTAAACTGATAAAAGAAATCGTGATGCAAAAAAAACATATATTATTTCTGTGGACTTAATTCTATTCTACATATATATATAAATTATTACATTATTTACCTTGTAAAAGAGAAAAAAAAGAAAGAACATTCCTAAAACACTGTAAGCACATACTATGGTAACATAAAGGGGGTCGCTTGTTAAACTTCCATTTTCTCTAATTAAACCATTAATTATATCATGATGACTAATGCTTAATGGTTGCTCCTTTTCTTGTTTTTCAGGCAACCTTCCATTACTAGTTGACTCTGTTTCTTTACTTATTTCTTTAACATAGCGATCAATAGATAATTCATATTCTATTCCTTCTGGATAATCATTTAATAGATTTTCACAATTTAAATTCTTTAACAGTACATAAGGACTATATGTTGTATCACAATTAAAGAACATTGGACAATGATCCCAATAATCCTTATGGTAAAAATATGTACAGCAATGTCTTAAATAATCCTTATATAGTGGCACAATAGATGTAACATATTCACAATATTTACTTTTAGAATCTGTGTAACTAACATTATTCATGATGTGTTGGTGGTTTTTAAAATAATCATGCAAGTATTTCATTTTTTTCCATTCCTCGAAGGTTCCATATAAATAAAAGTAACAAGGTTTCTGCATTGCAAGGTTTTTATAAGATATTCTAAAAATTAATCTCTGTAATATATCACTAGCACAAGGATCAAGTACACTGTTAGTAGTATCTATTTTCCATAAAGTTTCATATACCCAAAAACTAAGATATGAGCAATGATTTCTAAAATCATTTTCATTTTTCAGAATAATAGTGGATTTTATTAATCCATTACATATATCATTACATGCTTTTTTATTATTATTCTTTAATATTTTGTTATCAATAGCTTCTACACATTCTTTATGTTTTTGGCATAATTTATCTTTATCAGTTATATTTTTACATTCTGATAATTTATTCGTGTCAATAACTTCATCGCATATCTTACCTTGCGACAATTTCTCCAAATTGATGGCTTCCTTACAATCTTTATAATTTCTTACTAATTTTTCCCAACAAAACGTTTCTTTACAATTTTTATATTTATCACATTCATTATCACAGTTTTTGCTGAAATCACTATTACACACATTTTTATCTATCATAAAGCAATCGTTGCAACAAACATTACAACACATTTTACTACAATAATTATCACAATAGCTCTCACAAATTCTGCAATCGTCTATCTCTTCCTTCAACTTTTGGTATTTTTTACAGGAAGGCAATTCATTTAAATTCACATTCTATAATATAAAAAAAATATATTTATTATAAAAAATATAAAATGTTGATCATTAAGTAATTAGTATATATTGTGTTCTACAAAATCCATAATATTATAATAATATATTATTAATGAATTTTTGTTAATAAATATAAATATACGTTTTCACATAATTTTTCTAAATAATCCATTGGATCTCCAGAAATGATAAATAAAGATATATAATGTATCTGTGCGAATATTTATAAATGAAAACCTAATTCTATTATATACTAACAATTTATATAATATTTTTTTCTAAGTTTTTAAATTATTTTGAATACTCCCTAGTGGCATAGTCCTTAGTCGTAGCCATGGTTTTATATATAATATTAGAAATAGAATAATATAAGAACAATATTTATATAGTAATGAAATAATATATAAGGTACTAATTATTCCTCGTATAAGAAGTACTATTATACATTAAAAAGTATATTATTTTGTAGCCATAAAAATATAAATGAACTAATTATCTGTTTTAATAATAGATTGTTCCTTAGTGTTTAGTTTTGAGTGATCAGATATAGAGTTTACCCATTTTTTCATTATTTTATTTTATCTATATTACTTGTGTTATTGTATTAAATGAATAAAAATATATATTATTTTATTATATGGAACTATACAAATGCTTGTATTGGGATTATTTCTTGAAATACATAAAATGTGAATAAATAATAATTATTCTTTTTTTTCAACAATAGATAATTTATTATAATCCATTTTACAATTGATAGATGTATCTAATTCATATAGTATGCATAAAACCTAATAGAATAACTAATATAAATGTAACATATGTCATAAATAATTTTGAGTTTAACATAACAAGATTTTTAAAAATTTTTACACAGTTCATAACTATTTCGATAAAAATTTTCATTTTTCTAGTACTTGTACTCACCATTACATTTCAATTTTTAATTATATACATTTCACACACATTTTTTCTTATTAATCATATTATACATTTCCATTTGAATTTCATAAACAACATAATTCATAAATTTTTTTACATCTCGTGCACTACTTATATCTCAATCCCTTAAAATAAACATATAAATAGAGATGTAAATAAACAAGTATCATTAGTTTTCATAACTACAAACATGTAAAAAAATTTATTTTCTTATATATCAATTTAATAGATTATGTTTAAATAATTAAAATATTTATATATATACACTTTTTACAAAATAACATAAGTATTTTTATCTATATGTTCACCACATTTTGTGTATTATTTAAATATATTCTAAAATATAGCATCATAAACTAAATGATTATAAAATATTACTGTAAACGAGATTATTCATGTTCTACGCAATATATTTTTTTTAATGATTATATATAAAAAAAAAAAATTTATAAACTATATTTGAAATCTAATATTGAATGAAAGCGAGATAGAATATAAATCTTGATTTACATTGATATTTTAACGAAAATATAATTCATAATGTGAAAATATTAATTTTATGATGGAATAATTTTAAAATAATATGTTATATTTTTACTTATCATATATATTAAAGATATTTTAAATTTTAAATTAATGCAAATTTATTTTAAAATTTTGTGCATTATATTAATATAATAATTTCGTAAAAAATTATTTAATTCCAAATAAATTATTACTTTTTTGAAACTCTTAATTGTATAGTACTAAACAGCTAATAATTTAATGCATTGTAAAATATAATGAAGGAGTAAATATAAATAATATCTTGTAAAGTTTACGTTTGCTATGCCTTATATTAATGTATAATACAACATGTTATTAAATAGTAATATATATGAGTGAATATATTACTATATAATGTCTTTTGTACAAAATAAAAAAATGTAAAATTACAGATAACATGTGTCACATTAAATACATAATATAAATTATTATTTTACAATAAAAATAATATCCTAGAAAATCAAGAATATAGTATATGTAAGCTAAAGATAACATTCCGTGAAAGCATATATATTTTTTACATTTTTATTATAATATAGAGTAATAAATAATATCTGATTTCCAGAATTAAGATTCACATGCTTCAAACATTTCGTAATGTTATATTATATTGAGAAAAAGACACTTATGAATACATATACGCTATTTTAATATTTCTTAATTAATTAAAATAATTTACTTTTTCTTAAAGAGTATTAAAAATATCTCCATTATACTTGCGAGATTTTTTCTATCTATAAATTCATATTCCATTCAAATAGTCTTTCATATATGAAATGGAATTATGTAATAATATATAATTAAAATTATATGATTTTTTTTAATTTTCAGTTCAGTATACATTAAACAATTTTTATGTGTTTATAAATTTTTATTATTGTGTTGTTGTTTTTTGAAGATTTATTAAATATTCCAAATAGCTTTCACAGAAAAAAAAACAAATTTTTTATATAGAAAGAAAAATTCATTTGATTTATATCTTAATTCTTATTTTATAAAATAAGTACAAAAGTATTATACTTTCATATTATAAATATATACTGAAAGCATAATTGATAGGTAAACAAATTATATTTATTATATACATCATATTAAATATTTCATAAGCTAAAATTACATCATAAGACACATAGTTTAAAAATTAATAAATTAAGATTCATATATCATATCTTCTGGAAATTTTATGTAGAAGATTTTAGAAAACATAGAAATATGTCTCAACTCCTTGCTATATTTTATAATAAAAATACATTATTAAGATAATAAGTTTTATTATACAAATATAATAATTTATATTTTATGAAATGTTGTTTTTTTTGCCATTAATAAAAATATCATTAAAAAAAGGGAAAATTTATCCTACAATTATTAAGAATCATTATTTTGTAATTATAATATTGTGAATATTCATACACCTCATAATAACAATGTCATATTTGCCTTAATCTTTGTTTATCCAGGTTATCGTAACTAGGAAAAGCATGAATAAATCAATTATGATATTATATTTCAAAGTTTCTAAACTTATAATATACACCATATAATATAAAATTCAGAGAAAAATATTCGTATATGGGTGAAAAAATGTAGAAAAAATTAAGATTGCGTAATATCGTCAGGTATCACGAAAGATTCTCGGTTAATTTTTGATATTAGTTATGAGTAAAAAGAATTTCCTCTTAATTTTGATATGATTAATATTGCTGCTTCCATTTAGTTATCAATGATCTACATCATGATATTAACACAAAATGTAAGTACATATGAAGAATATTCATATGATGAATAGTTTTAATAATAATTGTACATATTATAATAATAAAACTGTATATGATTATTTCTGAAATGTTACCTCAAATTTTATACATGATATATATATTTTGCACCATGATAAAATAAATTCATACATGTAAACGAAAATATAAATGTACTTCCTATAATGAAGTATCTAATAATTTATTATCTGTCAAATTTAAATTGATTAAAAAAATGCATATCAAATAATTACTACAACGTTAGATATAAGTCTATTACATATTAACCATATGCAATCAGTAACTGTAGTTTAATTGTCATTAACACTATGATGATATTTAGAAATTACATTTTATACAAAAAGAAAATGATTATTATTGTTCTCATTAAAAATATATGATAGTCCAGTATATTAAAAAAATGTACAATATGTCTTTATTTGGAAATATCGAATAACAGAACAGCATCAAATATTCTCAAATAAATATAAAACAAAAATATGCTAAAAAAATTTATTAACAAGCAAAAAATAAATTCTACATCTTATTATATGATTATATAAAAAAAGAAGATAAATAATATCCATCTAATAGGACCTTATTCTTTTTATTTAGTAGGTTATGTTCAATGGTTTTGTTTAGGAACATGTATCACACCTAAAGATTTTTTGTGTATATAATAAAATATAATTTATATTAATATTGAATTCATGATTATCATCTTAATAAAAAATATATTTATTTGAAAATTTAGTTTAATAAAATAAATATATGAAAAATTTTCTTAAAATTATGTTCCTTCTTTTTACTTTATTATATCCCTGGATACAATATAACCAAAAAGAATAAGCAGTTTATAATCATTTTAATATATATAATAAATGTTTGCCAAAAAAAGCAAAGAATTATTTTTAAATATGCCTTTTAATAAAAGTAAAATTCTATTACATCGTCAATTTTCTTCACAACTTCGAAAATGTGGCATCTAGTTTTAATTTATAAAAAACAAATATATTTATAATTATTAAAAACCTGATATAATAAAACATGATATATGATGAATAAAAAAGAAAGGAAGCATCTTTAATTCAGTATTCTATTAATATCTCATTTTCTATTATTTATATATATCGTCTTCCTTTGATTATAACTATTATATATTTTTTTCTCTTAACCAACTATTCTTTAATAAATATCTGAGAATTTCATTCACATTTATGCAAATTTCATATGGATTAATAATTTTTTCATAAAAAGAAACATTCTAACATATTGTGAATATTCTATTTATTATGTCAAATCTTATAAGCTGTATTAATTATAGACTTCTTTCTTGTTAAATTTTCTATTCACTCTAATTATAGCACATATCAGAAAGTATCTTACAATTATAATTTTAGCATTTATGTATTTACTAAAATAAAAGATTTGAAAAGGAATATAATATATTTATCATAATATAAATTGAATTCTGTAAAACAATAAAATTATATATATAAATGAAGCACTTCATTCTTCATGAAAAATATACAAATTTAAACAGTATACGTACATGAATATAATGCAAAATAATTTTTGATTATATATCTAATATTAAAACTCCAAAAAAATTCACTAATGATAAATATGGATATAAATACATGATAAAAATGAGTTATATTCTCATAATTAAAATAAATAATAATATATGTAGAAACCGCTTTGTTCTCTTAAAAAATTTCCCTATATTAACAGTAGATATTACAATATGCTTAAACATTACATACTAAATGATAAGCGTAGTTAGTAATCATTTTATAGGAAAATTAATATAAAAATACTATTGTACGTATTAATCGAATTTAACCTTTTTCAGAAAATTATAATTCCTTTTGATCAATTTATAAAAGTGCCGTAGTGAAACAAACTAAAAGGAAGAATAAAATATAGAAATTTTCTATATTTATTTCATTAAAAACGTGACATTATAAATTTTGCATAGAAGAAAATACGAAATATATATTATAAATGCAACTAAAAGTGTTATCTCAATTTTCATATAAAAAAGTTAAATATGTTCCACAAGACTAAAGAAATTATTGAATAAACGCTAATACATAAAACGTTTTATATCCTCTTATTTAGTTGTTCTGTGTAATTTTTGCTGTAAAATCATACTTTTTGGCGCATTATCATCACCTATATGGTAGAAATAAATTATAAAAAATTGTAACTGTCTATTTATTCTATATTCTCTTGATGATATTGGGTCTATCCAGAGTTTCCGTCACATTCTATCTATGCATGCATATTATTAATACGTTAGATCTATGATGCATTTTTAATATAGAAAATTTATTTTATTTTCTCTTTTAATTGAACATTATATATTATTCATAATATTAAAAGTTTTATTTATAGTGTCATTACTTTTTAAACCTTATTTAGAAGCACACTAAAGAATTATAAAAAATGTAATATACATCATTTTGTATTTCCTTTTGTAAGTGTTAAAAATTATTCATTAATAATTCGTTAGTTATATTATTATATATATATATATATATATATATATATATATATATATATATGTATATTTTTCTTACTGTTCATATGCATATATGTAATCAAAAGCATGTAATCTACTCATAAATATTTGTAATATTATTCAAAAGTATACACAAATAATTTTGTTAATGTAGTATGGATATATAATATATAAATTATGATTAACATGAATATTTGTTTTATATTGTTATATTATCCTTTATAAGATGAGATAACTACTGGTAAAATTTTCTCAAGTGATGCATTAGCATATGTTGTATCAAGATAATTTTTACATCCGTTATCTGTGACTAACATATAGAGGTAAAGGATTCTCACTATATTTATTCTAAACCTGCGAAATTAATTATGAATTCTGTTCTTTTTATTTTCTAATTAAACTTTTCCGCTCGCATCTTATGTTATACTGTATGTTTCATGAGATCATTAGTCTCAGGAAAACAAAAGAATTATATACATTTATTGCTTCCATTATATTTGACATTGTATAAATATTATTAAAAGTATGAATGGTATTATTATTAAATGCATTATGTATTTTATAAATAAAATCACTTCTATAATTATGAAAATTAAAATTTTGTGTCAATTATCAACTTTTATTATGTTTTGATATATCATATTACAAAAAAAATACATATACAAATTATAACATATCATTCTAATATATATGTGTAAACAGAAATATAAAAAAATATTATTCAATATATAAATGATTTCTATTTATTTCCCTTTTATTAAGTTATTCAATATTCAGTTCCAAAAAATGTGGTTAACTGGGCTTAACTTAATAACTTTTTTAGGTATGATATATATAATGTAATTTGAATTTATAAAATATTATACACGATTTATATGAGGATATATATGTGGTTTTACTTTTATGTGTGCTTACATTTCATGAACAAAATAAATAAAAATATTTATACTATGTATATTTCAGATAATCATATTTTTAAAATAAAGGTTATATATTTATTTTAGTGCATCCAATAGAAAAATCATTTAAAAAAAATATATGTATAAAATACTTATCTTCTTATAAATCAAGATATAATTTGTAAAATATTACAAATTATTACATTATGGTATTAGAGTTCTACATATATTTATATAATATATCACCGATAGCTCATGAAAAACTAATAATAATTATACTATTTTATATACTTAATGCAAATATGTATATGTTTTAATAGTATAAGTAAAAGAGCATAAAAAGTTACATAAAAGAAAAAAATAAAATAAATTGTTATATATATTGTGATGGTTAAAAAGTGAATATATATACATAAATCATCTCCAATAATTACGTTAAATCATTATAGTATAATTAAATCTAATAATAGATAATACATATCAATAAAAATATATATTGAAAAAAAAAGAAAAATGCATCTATGTATCAAAAAAAAATATGAAATTCTCATATGAATGCATAATTTTTTTAAAAAAAATTAACAAACAAAAATTAACTAATACAAAATGTATAAAATATATTAAATAACCTTGTAATAGGTAAAAAATAAAAATATAGTAAATAATATTATTTATAGTACATGATTTAATGTATAATGTATTCAGAATATATACTAAAACATTGTGAAGTGTATAATAATTAAACATCTATTACTAAAAGTATAAAAAAAAATATATATTTCATTTCTATATATAATACAGAATAAAATACCAACAACCATTTACATAATTTCATGGAGTAAGAAATTATACATTTATTAATTACAGCATATAACAAAGAGATAAATGAATATTGAAATATTGACAATACTAGTTAAAACATAAAAATAAAGCGTTATCAGTTGACCCCACATCCAAAACTTGAAATCAAAATCCTTATATATTTACTATGGTTATAATAACAATAAAATTTTTTTGTTTATATAGTTTCATATATAAATAAATTATAATATATATAATTACCTTTCGATGATTTAAATAACCACTTAAATTTCCTATTTCTATATATATTCATTAATAACATTTTTTATAGTCATCAAACCAGAAATTTCCAAGTAAAGAGGAATGTATTTCAATATGGAATGATGCAGATATAAACACTTATGAAAATATGTACTGTCAACAAACAGATTCACTGAAGATTAAAGATCCTGAATTATATAACATATGGTGTTTTATGAGGATCAATTTCCTTAATAGCCTTTCCATTATCATTAAATCTCTGCAAAATTATGAAATATGCGTTTATTTCCATGAATGGCTAGAAGAAAAAAAAAAAGGATATAATCCTAATAATATACACTGTGAAAAAAAAAAATTATGGGAAGATCATATTATCGCTACATTGGAACAGTTGCTAACAAGGGAGAGCATAACAAATGATAAGTGTAAATGCAAACCTACTAAAATTGAGTGCCCTGATTCATCACCATTAAATTCTGTTTCAACATCATTAGGGAAAATTGCTTCTCCTGTTTCATCACCAAAAAGTGCTATTTTTTCCATATGTTTTACAGTTATAATAATAATTACTCTTAGCTACTTTTTTGTATTTAATGTAATATAAATTTTGTTATAAAATATTTTTAGTATTTCGTAATAAACGAATGGGCTAATTTCGTTTTAATTTCACTAAAATTATTTATACATGTAGTATATTCTATTAATTAAAATTCTAATTCTAGTATACTAAGATCAAAAGATTTTTTAGTGATAAATATAATAAGAGTAGATTTTTAAGGAAATGTTTGAAGCGTGTACTCCCCTTAGAAAACAAAGAAGATTTGGAAATATATTCAGAAAACGAATGTATTAATATACTATATTTGTAAAGAACTAACTATTAATTAATATATGTCTCAATGTAGAAGATTTGACATTATATTATATAAAATAAAATAGTGTATTTCTTAACTATATAAATTGTGAAGTGTAATTAAAATTAATGTGAGCGTAAAAAAAACTGACCTTAAAACAAAATGTCAAATCACGTAAAATAGAAAATTATGCAAAAAAAAAATCAGTGTACAACAATTTTGAATAATCCTGTAAAAGGAAAATCGAGTGAATTAAAAATAAATGTGTTTATTTAATTTGGTTAAAAAATCAGTTCGTTCTGTATATTATATTTTGCACTAATTTTATTATAATTCGTTAACCTAATTTTAAATTTATGTAGCAATTGTCGTTGCATCGTGTTTATAAATAATATGTAAAAATATTATTATATATATTTGTCATTTACTTATATGTCTTAAATAAAATTATTTATTTGAAAATTTTAAGACATCATCGCATAATTTTATATATAACATTAATGTATGTATAGATAACCCGTCTATATGCTATATTCAACATTTATATTAAATAATTAAAAATAATTAAATTTTATTTATTCCCTTATAAATTTTTTATTGCCTTCATGTAAAAATTGTTTAATTTTTTCTTGTTTATTTCTCTTTTTGAGTAACATTTTTCAGAAAGCAGTAAAGAAATACATAAATAATAATAAAAAAAAATAGGATATGTGTTATACGTCTCTTTAGCAAAAACGAATATTTCAGTAAAGCTAATTTTAATAAAATGCTATATATTTTAAATGATAAAGAATAATTACCATATTGTAAAATAGAAAGTAAAAGAAAATATTCCAATTATATAGAAAAAATATGTTAAGTGTAATCTTCATAAATTTAAATTTTATTTCTATATTTCAATAATCTTTCAGGGGTCTGATTCTTTAGAAGTATATAAATAGCTATAGAAATATATTTTTCTTTATTAATAAATTTACTATAATCTTTATTATTTAAATTCTATGTTCATTAGTATATATTTAAACATAAAAATACAATATAATTACTACAAATATTTTATGTAGTGTCTTTTTCTTATTGTTTACAATTTCTATGATCTAGAAACTGTAAATTATACAGAATATAACCTATGTTACATCCATTATATCATTAAAAATAAATGTAAAAACCTTATTTCTTTTAGTTTATAATATATACAATAACATATATTGTATTTTTTAAAAAATAACTTAATTAAAGTATTTATGATATATGGTTTTTTTCAGTTTTAGAACTAATAATACATTTGATCAATGGAAATATTTTCGAATATATTTCCAAATATCACCATTATTGGTAATATTCGAAATGATCTAAATTATTATCAAAAAAAATATAACAATTATAATAAATTGTGTTTTCATAAACAATATAAACCCCTACATCTACAAACAAATTAATTACAATATATCATAAAAAAATGAATTATATACATAAAAATATTTTTATATTATATTTATACATTTTTAATTATGAAAAAAAAAAATAAAGTAGGACAAGCATATGATTAGTCTCAAAGCTGTTACAGCATCTACTTAATTCAGCATATGCAATCATTATTAATTTTAATCTACATGCATAAATCTTAACTACATAAATATAAAATTACATTTATATCTTTCGAATATTTTATAATGTAGAAAAATAATGATTAATAATCCAAACAAATAAAGTACACAAATACTTAAGTGTTGAAAGAGTACATGTAAAGTAGATTCATGAATATCGAATAATATCTATAAAATAACAATTTAATGTGCAAATAAAGGAATGTTAATTCATGCTTATAAAACGATTCATAATATATAATTTACAGTATTATTTTTACACGTATATTTTATGTCAAAAATGTAAAATTAATAAAAAAATTATATAATAATTCATATGGTGGATAGTAGATATAAAATAATAATGAATTTAATTTATTCAAAAACTTATATACAAATATGACAGTATATGATTACATCAATTTTGCCTTGTCACTCTTATAATTTTTCGAACTATGTAAATTGTATGAGAATCTATCTAACAATTCATAAAACTGTAAGGTGTAATAAATATTGAATTATATTATATAAGTAATAATCATCTTCAAATGCTGAATGAGTAAAAAGGAGGATATAAACTTAATTCCAAATAATATTTTTTTTATTAATATGTTTATCCGAAATTATTTTTCTATGACCTTCAACTTAAATACATGGAATATGAAACATATTTTTTCACACAATAATATATAAAAAAATAAACTAATAGGAATATCATATTTTCTGTGTATTTAATTATAAAAAAAACTTCTTATTAGAAATCATCCTTTCTATTATATTATATATAAAAGAAAATATAAAAAATATATTTTTTTTTTAACATTAACAATGAAATTCTGTTAATGCTTATAACAAATGTAGATATCATATCCCATATATATATATTTATTAAGTTTTAATAATGTAACATAAATTGATGAACATAAAAATAAATTTCTTTTCAATTTTCCCTTAAAATTAATATTAATCATTAAAAATAGAATATAGTAATAAAAGAAAAAATATAACTGACTTTATAAAACAAATATGCAATCAAAAAAGTGAAAATTTTACATAAAAATATTTTTCTACGTATAAAAATAAAAAAAAGAAAAAAAAATGAATAATAATAATAACAATAATATAAATAAACGAAAAACTGTCAAAGTTAAATTAATATTTTGTTAAATATGATCGCACCTACATTTTTAATTTGTATAAAAAAATATACATTATAGGATATATAAATATATCTCTTATGGCATTATAGAAATCTTCAATATATTTTCTTGAATTAGTTCGACATAATCCTCTCATTAAGAATTATAAGATATATAGATTTTTTTTTTTCGATCATTCCCGTGTCCCCGTTGCAACTTCCTAGATGGTAATTTCTGTTTAGAGTTTTCCTGAAAATTATTTTTTATTTGCTTTTTCTTATGTGATTTCCTATCAATAAATGATCCTAAAGGTGTAAACTAGGAAAAATAACGGTAATAAAAGAAATATCTAATACTTTTATTCCTTATATTTTTAATTCATACATTATATATAATACAATCATATGTATCAGATGTACATTAAAAAATCATATCATTGTTTACTTTGTAAAATAAAAAAATGAGATAGAATATTGCTAAAACAGTAAATAAAATTGATGTTGTAACGTAGAAAGAATCGTATGTTAATTTTTTAAATTTACTCATTTGACTTTTAAGTATAACATAAAAGTCAATGGCTGATGATTGTACTAATTTTTCTGGGTATGGAGGCAATTCACCATGACACTTTAATTTATTTAGCAGTTTATAAGGACTATAATCTTTATTGCACTTATAAAAATTTGGACAATGATCCCAGTAATGTCCGAAGAAAAAATATGTACAACAATAACTTGAATATTTTTCATATAATGTCAAAATAGAAGTAACATATTTACAATATTTACTTTCATCATTATTAGAACCGCCATTACTTTTAATATGATCATGATTTTTAAAATAATCATGCAAGTATTTCTCATTTTTCCAGTCACTGAATGTCCCATCAAAATAAAAGTAGCAAGGATTATTCTTTACATTATCACTTTCATTAATACTCCAAATTAACTTATGTAATGCATTAAGAACACAAGTATTTATTTGAGTGCTTGAATTAGAACTACTAGAACTGTTATATTTTTTCCATAATTGTTCATATGTCCAGTAATTAAAATATGAACAGCGGTTACCTAAACTACTTTCATCGCTCAGAATAGTGGACAATTTTATCAATCTATGACAAATTTTTTCACATGTTTCCTTATAATTTTCTTGATTACATTCTATACATTCTTTACACTCTTTACATTCTTTACAGATATCTTCTTTGCATTTTTTACATTCCTCTTCACACGCGTTTATATTATTTTCTTCATCCAATTTTTTATATTTCATACACGAGGGCAACACTTTAAAATCCCCATTCTGAAATGCATGTAAAATGTATTTATTATAAAAATGTTAAAATACTTTCCTTTAATAAAATGTTTATAATTATGTTTTATGAAATGCATTATATTTTAATAATAATATATTAAAAAACATTTTAATGACAAACGTAAACATACATCATTACATAAGTTTGTTAAAATATTTTCACTTTCATTAGACATGCTAATTAAACAAAACCGTGTGATCCGTCAATATACGAATATTCATAAGTAAAAAATGTAATTCTATAATACACTAATAAAATAAATAATCATTTTATACTAATTTTTTAAATGTAAATTTATATTCCATAGTAGTGTATTTTTTAATTATAGCTAATGTTTTATTTATAGTATTATCATTAAAATGACGTAGAAAGAGAATATATATGTCGAATGTTATGGAAGTTCATATGTGTATTAACTCTTAAAAAAAAGTACAATTATATAAAAACATATAATTTTATAAAATAAAAAATTTAAATGTGAAAAATTATTATGCTATAAGGTACTTATGCGAAAAATTATTTACATTATTCTGAATAGGCATTTGGGGAATTATTCACATAATTTTCTCCTTTTTGCTTTAAATTATAAAATTTGAAGTGATACATGTTCATATATTTATTATTTCACTCTAATAATAAATACTCCTTTTTTATTTTCAAATCGATATTATTAAAAAGTATCGATTAATGTGTGGTCTAGTAATATAAGAATATAACACTAAATTATAAAATATCCTGCCATGCATAAATAATTACATTCCACATTATTAAAATGCATAAGTAAGAATTCCTGTTAAATAAGAAAATTTCATAAGAATACACTATATAAATGTAATTTATTTATCATTAATATATTTTTTTTTTTCTTAATTTATTAGAATATATTATATATTTTCATTGCAAAGTATTCAAACTTCTCTCCTCCTTAATCTACAAGTAAAAAAAAACGTTTTGCATCACACTATATATTTAATTTATTCTATAGAATGCACATATTGGAATTTCAAAATTTTATTATAAATGATATATTCTTATCAAATAACATAAAAATAATGGAATACTATTAACGGAATGTCCCTTGAAATGCCATTTAAATTTATCATATTCAAAATGTATATAATATATTAATCAAGGTTACAGTTTTACATTTTATTTAGCATATATGATGGAGAAATATTTTTTTCCAAGCAAAATTTTACTATTTTTACACATTTAAAATGTTATGAAGTATAATATCGTTATTACGCTACATTTTAATATGTAAGTTTTGGACCCCCATTTAAAGTTTCTAAACATATGGGTTATATAAAAATTTCTGCAATTCATTGTAGTATGTTATCCAAAAATCGTGAATAATATATAAATGCTTTATTCAGAGAATAATATAGTATTGTAGAATAAAATTTATGTTGTTTTATTTCATCATTTTTTAATTACGTTTTTAACATCACTTTTCGGCATATTATTTAAGTAAAAGCCTTTCATTATTAATATACATGCGTAATATACCCTTTGTATTAATTACAATCCAAATGAGTATTTAAAGGTTTTTCATTTATTTGACAATATTTTAATTATTAACTTTAATTAAAACGAAGGGCGATTCAATTCCAACTAAATTTAAAAAATGGAGAGTAAATTAGGGTGATAAATTGTTAAGCAAAATAGTGTACGATTAAACCTTCCCCAAATTAAAAAATAAATCCTTACTCAAATATTTGTGCAGCTTACGTAGGGAATATAATAGGTTGTGTCAAGTTATAAATGTAGAACAATAAATTAATGTTTAAACAAATGGTATAAATGACAAAACCATTAAAATGTGAATAACCACCATGTAGATAACCATAAAAATGGGAAAGGACAAAACCAGATAAATAAAACGTAAAAAAAAAAAAAAAATGGATTATCATATGTTATTGTATTAAACATAATAGCTATACTTTGCTCAAAAAATATCTAGGGTGGCATATAGTTACATAAATGACATTCAGGAAAAAAGATAGATCTAAATAAATACCTAATATATATATATATATATATATATATCATGCTACATAATAAAGAAAGAAAAATTTAAATCCAAATTTTCATGAAATTAATATAAATCATATTTTATTAAATATTCCTCTGAAAATCCACAAATACGTTCATAAATTTGTCTAACAAATTTTTACTACTTTTTCGCAACTTCTGATGCACTTATAAAACTGGTGCTTTTTGGTAATATTAACTACCAGTGCCCCTTGACACATATTTCATTTTTTCTTTTTTACTCATATTTGGCATAGAAACTACCTATATGCTACCAATTTGTTAAAGAATAAGAAACAATAATAAACCATAGAAATGTAACAATTTATTTTTCTTACAGGGGCGTCAATGTGAATTAAAAGTTTTAAATAATTACATATTCAATAAAATGAACATGCTCACATGAAACAGCATATGTAATGATTTCATATATATTATATATAAATGGAATAGATAAATTGTGTTTATGACACTTATCCATGAAATAGTTCGTGGTGGAAGATGTACCCCTCTTATGTATTTTCTACAGTAGGGTAAATTCCTTTCACTTCAGTTCTATGTTTTACCTTAGTTATTTTTCAATAACTATAAGGTGTTCTCCTTTTTTTTTTTTATTTTCCATTTATGTAATCTTATTTTAGTGACCGGGTGAGAATTTCATCCCAAGCATTTTTCCCAAATGAATATGTAACGCTTTGCTATTTTTCTAATCTCCATTGTAGACTAATTTCGCGTCCATTTGTTTCTTACAACAACGTAGGAGGGATTAATACATTTTGTTCATATGATTCAAACATTTACAAACCTTAAAGTATGACAAACTGACTGATATAGCAACATTATTACCCCATTTTTCTATAGACGTTTATTCACACTGAGAGAAATTCTCACGCATTACAATTCACGAATTGTTTTAAAATTAAATTGCTAAGTGTTGGTTTCAAAATAAATGATAACTTTATCTCTAGTGGGGTAAAAATCCTTTACAACAGCACAGTTGTGCACACAGTATATTTTCCATCTTTTGAAAATGGACAATTTTTGTGCATATAAAATGATATGCAATATCCCACCTCTGATAATTCTAAAGAGTATATTATTTACAAAATTGTACCATTGCACAGGTGCTTATATATGAACGGCACGTGTGAACCACGCTATGGGGAAATGTACTTAAAATGTACATCGATAATTTTATACAAGAAATAATGTTCAAAACTGTTTTCTTACTATACGCAAAGTTAAAAATTCCAATGAGTAACAATTCCTTGTTGAGATAAGGCAAATTGCTCTAGAAAATTTTCACTTAAAATTTTCTATGTATGGTATGAACTCACCCATATATATGCAAAGAATCGTGGAACACTTTTTTTTTTTTTTACACGAGTTAAATAATGCAATAAATTCATTCTATCTTCTTTATATATATATGTATACATAGCAAAAGTAGTTGGTATATCGTAATCGTGTTCATACCCCATTTCAGTGAATGTAGAACATAATGTTCTAGTCAGCACAGGATAAACTTAATCTTATTTATTTGTTGCTGTGTTAGAATGTTAGGTATACACAATATACACACCCTTAATATAATATATATATATAGTTTTTTTTTCTGAGAATGTGCACAATCTACATTTCATTAACTGTTTTTTCACCCTTATAATTACGAAGCGGAACTTATTGTATTTACATATATTTATATTCTTTTAGCACAAAGCTCAAAAAAAGAGAAGCAATTTTACATCAAAATAAGTTTAAACAGATAGTTGAATAGAAAAAAAAGGGCTTCTATAACATTTTGAATGAAAACATTTTTATAACCTTTTACTATTTACAACTTTTCGTAATTTTACGCTGAAACAATTTTGTTTTTTCACATTTTTATGTTTTAAATTTTTTTTTTTTTTTTACTTCACAAAATTTAAGAGAGTAACAAAAATGTTCAGTAAAAGTGTTGTCAAATTATTGTAACACATCACCTTATTTTCCACTTTTTTGAAGTGTTATTTCTTTTTTTTTTTTCCCTTGAATTCTTTTTTATATTTATTGCATATATATATCTCGCACTATGATAGCGCAAAAAAAAAAAAATAAAATAACACTTCCAAAAAGTGGAAAATACATCTACTAAACTTTTTGTGTAATGATAAAAAAGTAAAAAAAATAAGAACTTTGAAATTTGCTTAATATATTTTTTTAATTTTTCACATTATTAATTTAACTAAAATGGGTATATAAATTTTTTCTATGCTATTTTGTATATATAAAAATATTACATTTTGCGTAATATAAAAGTATATTTTAAAAAAAAGTAACTTCCGCTCAATTACCATAATTAATTTTTATTTTTTTTACTTTTTTCATATGCAATTTTATTTTCTTTTTTTTCATAACAATATATTATTAATATTATTGCGATAATTTACATTTTTCTTTATACAAATAAAAACCCTGTTAGGTATGAAAATTTCTTCTACTCCTCAGTTTCAAGGTGTTAAAAATCGAAATTGAAAATAACACAACACAGTAAGTTTTATATTTCCCTATATAAATTAGTAAGTAAAAAAGTTCTAACGTACCCGTATAATTTAGAATTTTATTTTTACCTAATAGAAAAAATTGTTAAAATAATAACGGTAAAAAAGAATATTTTTTTTGTATATATTTTCTCCCTTAAGATAAAAAATTTGGTAATAAGCACATGCAAAAAAAAAAAAAAAAAAAAAAAACACTTATCTTTCAAATATTATACATTTACTATACATTTATACATATATATACCGATTTACCATTACGAATTCGTATTATTGTATGCATATTTTAAAATTAAATGGAAAAATGCTACGTACGTATTTTTTTTTTTTTTTTATTTTATGCATAAATATAACATTAGAAAACACCTTTATTAATACGTTAATTTCTTTTTTGTTTTTTTTTAAAACTTAGTTAAGTAAAACTACGGAAAATTTACATATCTAAAAAATTCCAATAAAGTTTAATTTTTTACCAAAGTTATAAAATTAAAAGAAAAATAAATAAATATATATTAGCACATATATAAATATATGTATGTATGTTATTCCCCATTACCATAATGTTTTACTAACTTTGAGTGTAACTTAATATGAAAGAAAAAACCAATATGCCATTTAATCTTTCCCCTAAAGTTTTTACCTTTTTTCTCCTAATATCTGCCTGGAAATTTCCCTTCGAGGTAAGATCAACGGAAAATAATTTCCAAAATAATTGCATCGCACCTTCTACACGTCATAAATTCTTTACTTTTTTTTTTTTTTTTTTTATGAAGCGAGTTATAAACGTATACATATATATATATGTATGTATATATATGTACACATTTTTAAAATGTTAAATAAATTTTTTTTTTTTCCCCCACCCTTAGTCATGTGCCTCCTACAAATGGAACAGGAACAGTGAAATAAATAATACACTAGGTATGCAACATGGAAGAATGTTAAAGGGAGAAGCGGTTGTGCAGAAAAAAGCAACATATTCAAAATTAAAAGAAGAATTAGTGGATATATTGGAAGAAGAAGATAAAGATTTGTTTGGAAAACGACTAAATGCATTAATAAATGACAGCAATTATAAGCAACAATTTAATATTTTGCTTAATAATGAACAATTAAAAGGATTATCTGATTTTGCAAAAATTAATGATAGAATAAAAAAACAATATGCTCCACATTCTGAAGAATCAGAAGATGTAGCTGATGTAAGAACACTTAAAAAGCCAAATGAAATTTCTGTTGTAGAAAATCCTAAACAAATTGGGAAAGTAACAGATTTAGCTAAATATAAGAATCCAAGAATAGCAGAGGAGGTATCCAAATTACATCAATTGGCAAAAAACGCTGATGATGTAGCAAAATTTCGTAAATGGCACAAAGAGTCCAGTATTTCCAATTTGGATAACGAATTAAGAATAAATCAAGACAAACAAAAATTGAAAAATGCATCTAATAAATCCAGTTATGGAAATAAATATCCCATAGGCTTTGACTCTGTAGATGATTTGGAATCATTGGATCTTAATGAAGACAATGAAGACGAAGACGATGCATATAAATCTGATTTAGATGAAACAGATAATGAATCTTGTTTTGATATTGATGAATTAAAAGAAAATCATGACAAAGTTGTATATCTTGATGATGATGGAAATTGTATAAGTGCTGAAGAATACATGATAAATCAAATTAATGAAAAAACTGAAAGGGTTCATAAAAATGAAAATATTGCAAAACATGATGAACAAAAATCTGAAAAAATAAATCCTAAAATAAATCCAACTACATCTGATAAGCAGCCCCCGAAAACAACATATTATATCAATAATAAAAAAGTTCTTAAAGGAGAAGATTTGCGTAAATATAATAAAACAGAAACTTCGAATCAAGGAAATGTCAAAAGTGATCAAAAAACTATACATAATGAGAAGAAAAATAATAATAAACAAAGTAATTCCTTTATGCGTAAACTTTTAAGAAGAATAGATTCCAAAATTGAATTAGAAATGTTACGTTACTTGAATATTCAATCCAAAGGCCAAAATAACAATTCTCAAAAAAGCCAAAATAAAGTACTAAAATCTTTTAAAATTATGAACAAATATAGAGTATTTTCCCCACTAGTCGCACTTGGAATCTTTTCTTTAATGTTATCAGCTCGCTATTACTATATGGAATATTTCACTTCGTCACCTATATTTTCTATTATATTACATATTTTGGTTTATGGTTTGTATGCTCTTCTGGCATTATACTATGTTGCAAAATTAGCAAAAATGACACGCGTAAAAAGAAATTTGGAAAAATCTAATGAAAAGAAGAAATTAGAGAACTCTAAGACTAAATAAAATGATTCGAACAAATCAATGCGCTTTAATTAACCCTATATGGGTTTACCCCCAAATGTTATATAATTACCTGATTAAATGTAAAAAATAAAATATACACTTTATATATATATATATATATATATATATATATATATATATATATATATATATATATATATGTATACATATACCTATATTTTACATTCCGTTTTTCTTAAATATTAAAAGTATGTTCCCTTCCGTTCCTTATCTTCAAAATGCCCCTCTCCTCCGTTGCACAGATATTTTTGCATATTGAGTTTGAGAACAGGCCTCTTGTATTTTATTTATGAAATTTTTAATTATGTGTAAATACTGCATAATTATAGCATTTGAGATTGTGCATGTTATGTTTTTCTATTTTTTAGTTCGTTTTTTCGTTATTTTTGCACCACTTTCAAACCATTTTTGCGCCACTTTCACACCATTTTTGCGCCACCTTCACATCATTTTTGCGCCATATTCACACCATTTTTACACCATTTTCTGGCCACTTCTACACCATTTTTATGCAACCTTTACTACACGTTTTTGCAATTTTTCGGAGAGTTCCACACATTGATATACCTTAAAAAAAATACAGAAAGCATAACATGCATCACAATAAAAATAAGCTTCCCTATCACAAAACGAGTGTTGTTATTTGTAATTTTAAATTTCATGCATATAATTAAATTATTAAATTAGTACTTATTTTATTTTGTTAATGAACAATCTGTAGCTATGTGCTAAGTGTTTATATATTAAAGATTAACCTGCATATGAGTTTTTTTTTTTTTTTTTTTTTTTTTTTTTTTTTTTACGTATTTAATGTTTACATAACCCCATAGAATTTCAAAACATTACCACGAAACTTATAGATATGATTTTTATATGCTTAAAGATTTTCTAGCAAATGATTAACACTACTTTAACGCCAAATTAATCACTAAAAAGAAAAAAAAAAAAAAAACCTCCATTTGTTTAACGCAATTTTTTTTGCTTACAAAAAATATGCTCCATATGCATCTACCTAGTTAAACGTAGTTCAAAAGAATTTATCACGTAATTGTCAGAAGTGTTAAATGGCACGATGAATAAAAAAAATTCACTCTTATCCCACCAAATTAGTATGCAAAATGGCTAGCACGATATCTTAAAAGTGCCTCTCAATGATGAAATGAAAAGGAACATATCCTTCACTACATAAGGACTCAATAATTACTTTGAAAATCTATCTCTTCCTTAAAGTTTAAAAAAATACTCATACATTGTGTGTTTAAGGCACTTTTTTGTATCCCATAACGTAGCTTAAAATGAAATTGTTTATCAAAAAATAAGGTTATATATATATATATATATATATAGTAAAATTTATACAATCATATAATTTTGTTTGTGAATAAAAGAATGGAGGAGTAAAAAAATTGTAAATTCATCTGTCTAGTTTTATTAAAGCAGAAAATATAAGCGTAATATATCCTATCGACTCATAAAACAAGATTTTTTCCCCTATTGGAAACAACTTTTTATAAAATAACAATGAAACAAAAATAAACATGCATATACAAAGGAGCACTTAAGTTTGTCCGGACCTTTTGGTTAATAATCATACAATTCAGTTTTAACTAGATACTGATATTGAGGTATATATCATGTCAAATAATTACCATGTCTAAACGGTACTAAATACATGTAAAGCATTCCTTTTATCATAATAATAATGATAAAAAAGAAAAAAAAAAAAAAATTATAAAAATGCATGACTCTGCTGCCTATATTCATATAACATAGTACGAACTTGTAAAAAAATACCTGCAATTATAAATCTCGTCATATTGACATAACATACATATTCATAACAGTTATATAACATTTTTCAATAACCCAATTTTTAATTGGCAAAAAATAGGTTCAACAATTTTGTGACAAATAATATCACACCATTTCCCCACTCACGGTGATAATAAAAATTCTAATAAAAAAGCTCTCAAATCTTTTTATGTCGTGAGAATTCATCTCTGGTTTAGAACCTGTCAGCATATGAAAACCTAATTATTCTATCAATAAAGGAGCTCATAAAAAAGAGTAATGTAAACCTACTACAACAAGAAAAAAATAATAAAAAAAATGCTCAAAGTGCCGTGCAAAATGTTGTCAAATTTTTTTGCAAATATTCGTTAAAAGGAAAAAAATTTTAAGTCAGTGCGGAAAAAAAGAAGCAAAAAGGATTATCAAAAAGAGTGGTTCTCAAAGGAATGAACCAAACAAGTGAAACAAAAAAAATATTCAGAAAAATGACGCAGAAAAAATAAAAAAAACAAAATGTTAAAACAAGTGTAACGTCTTTCATATGTATATACCAAATTCGATGAACACCCGCTCGTAGACTAAATTTATACAAGTAAAAAAAGAAGACAAAGCGAGAGGGAATGTAATCACTGCCCTACTCTAATCAAAATTTTTGCAAAGTTGAACCCATCTTCCTTAAATGGACTTTTTTTCCCCTAATTTTTTACGCTAATTTTTTACGCTAATTTTTTACGCAAATTTTTCCTTTCATTTTTCCATTTTACATTTCCATTTCACGCTTTACTTCTTTTTTTTTCTTTTTTTGCAGTCAAAATTAGACAGAGCTTCATCTCCCACCCTTCCCCCGTTTTGAATATTCAAAGCATATTCAATAAATACCTTGTAATTACAGATCCTTAAACCAATTGTGCAATTTGTAGGTCCATTTTCTTCGCATGTTTGTTGTAAAATCATTCCATGATCTTCTTTTAAGTTTTAGGTACCTCTGAAATTCCCACCTAGCACATATAACATCATCAGTAGCAAATTGTTTGATGTTTTTTAAATCCTGCTCATCTTTTTCCATTAACATTTTTAACATTTTATTCATTGTATATCCAAATCGGTATGTTTCATATTCCCAGGGAACATTATAATGAGAAGCCAATTTTCTACATACTGTTTTCATATTATGTACCATTTTAATATATTTTTTTCTCTCATGTTCATGTACACAACTCCATATAAAAAGGATAGTACTAGAATCAACAGGTCCTTTTAATTTTTCTATTTTTTCGGTTAATTCTTCATCTGTCATTTCTTCTGAGGAGTTATTATCCTTGTCTATAAAAAGCAATATATTATTTACACATCTATTTTTGTCAGCTTCATCCAACAGATTCATGGAATGGGGGGAAAATGCCTTTGCTGTTTCATCATATATTTTTTTCATTAAAGGATCCATGTCAAAATGTTTTACATTATTTTGAGTCTGAAAAACCATTTCTCCATCCTCAGTAAAAGTCGGTCTTCTGAATCCTCTGACATGGGATGGAATTGGACCCGATAATTTTCTAGACCTTGTGCAATTTCCAAAATTAGCAATATTCCATTCAGTTTTGCTTTTCCTCATACAGTTCTGCACATTCTTCAAAATGGAAAAAAAAAAAAAAAAAAAAAAAAAAGCAGAATTTTTATCGGAGTTCAAAGTTTGTTATGTCGGTTGGTGAAAATTAGCAGAATGGAGAAAATAAGAAAAACAGTTTCTTCCTCTACAGATCCCATCCTATGCATATACATATATATATATATATATATACACGTATGTATGTATGTATGCATATATATTTTTATGCACATGCAACTCGCAAAGTGAAAGCACTTCGTTTTTCTCACCTGTATGAGGGAATAGAACAAAGAGAGAACCAACACGCAAAAAACGACATTGTAACGGAGAAATGTAGAAAACACTTTTCCCTTTTTCTCAGAGGTTCTTGTTGATCTATCTTCTCGCACACTCATGAAAATTTTTTTTTCTCTTAACATTTTTACAGCCATAGAAAATAATTGGTAAAATATAATAGGTTTCGAGTGGGAGCAATCTTGCTTATTTTATTTTTTTAAAGGTTTATTTACTTAACTATTTTTGCTTCAATTCACAAAAGATAGGATTAAAAGGGAATACTTTTTTTGTTTTTTTCCCTTACAAAAAAGAATTAATCTGAGAACATTCCGTAATCAAATTAGAAATACTACCTAATATCACCATTTGAGCAGAATAAGAATAATAAAATTCTGCTGGTTCTAAGAAGAGAAAAAAATTGTAGAACGGCAGACGACAAAAAAGCAATAAAATAATATAATGTTCAGTAGAAAAAAAAAAAAAAAAAAAAAAAAAAATAGAGCAGATCAAAACATATCAAAACAGAACAGAAAAAAACAAAACAGAACAAAACAAAACAAATAGAACAGAAAAAAACAAAGCAGAACATAACAAAACAGAACAAAAAAAAACTCTTATTTAGCAAATTTGGCGCGGCATCATTGACCATGGTATTTGCCAAGGAGAGAATTTTCTAGATGGCAAAATCAGTAGCTGTCAAAAAGACTATACACAAAAAAGCATGAACAGAAAAATAAAAAAATAAAAATAAGGCTGCGCGAACATGCTCTTAATCATACATGTACATATGAAAAAGGAAAAAAGATTAAAAAGTATTTATATAAATATTTTTTTTTTGAAATGCCAGTAAGGCATTATAGAAGGAAAAAATGCGCTTATTTTATTTTACTTTATTTTTTTTTAGTTTATTTTATAATTACTTTATTTATTTTTAGTTTATTTTATAATTACTTTATTTTATTTTACTTTATTTTATTTTACTTTAATTTATTTTATTATTACTCTATTTTATTATTACTCTATTTTATTATTACTCTATTTTATTATTCCTTTATTTTATTATTACTCTATTTTATTATTCCTTTATTTTATTATTCCTTTATTTTATTATTACTTTATTATTGACATTTTTCCTTTTTTCTTCCTTTTCTGGACTATGTATAGACTATATAGATAAGCATATATTATACATATAAAAACACATAATAACATTTTCAAATTTTTTCCATATTTAGTTGCAACCCTACCATAGAAAGGGGTCTGTATGTAATATTTTACAAAATCTCAGTTGCCATTTTAGAAAAAAATAATTATGTATCACTTCAATGCAAGCATTGATATTATATATATATATATATTTTTTTTTTTTTTTTTTTTTTTTTTTACATGGTGGCAAACTTCTGACTCTGCAATGGTACATTGTCTACCTACCAATAAAACAAGAAAAATTCTGATTTTTTAAAAAAAAAAAGAAAGAAAAAAAATCATATTATTCATGCAAAAAAGGCATAATATAAATATATCATCGGGTAGAGAAAAATTAATCAATTAGGTCAAATGTTCGAGAAAATTCTTTTTCTTCTTGAGTTGTTTTTTTTTTATCACGCGCAATTCCATATGGATGTATATATATATGTATATAAATATTATAATACATGTATGGACCCTTTTTAATAAAAAAAATTCTAAAGTTGTCACCTCTGTTTATACATTCTACGCATGCAGTTTGTATTTTCACTTATTAACTTTACGACACGCGGTGGTAAATTATAGTATAGGCATGGCAAACGAATACCTTTTTGTTCTATCCCTAAGGAGGTCATATTTTAAAGGTTCTTCATTTATATGTATGATTAATGAAGGGAAAACAAAAAAAAAAAAAAAAAAAAATACATTAAAAGCCTATAATGAAATTAAAAATAAAGTAGAAAAAACAAAAATAAGAAAAAATGGAAGAAAAAAAATAAAATAGGCATTTCCCTTAATATTTGAATTTTTTTTTTTTTTTTTTTTTGCCAATCTTTTCTGCAATATATAAAATGACAACTTAGCAAAAGAGGACTACCAATACTAACGCACGAATAATTTTTTGCAATACTATGTGAATAAGCAAAATAGGAAAAAAAAAAAAAAAAAGATATATTGTTATGATTCTAAAAGAATAGACGAAATTTTGGGGTAGTATGGAATTTTTGTAATTTTAAAACAAAAAAAATAAAAAAAAATTACCTTTATTTATTTGTTCACGACGCTAAATTTTAAGCATGTATTTTTTTTATTATATGCAATGCACATGTAATATTTAAATTTACTTGTTATCTCATAAAAAAAGGAGCACATAAATTGCTTATTTAAAGGATACACAGAGGTTAACAAAAGTTTAAATCCAACCGGGATCGATGTCTGAGAAAATAATCATTACGAGTAGAAGAGAGGTAGGTGGGGTAGGCATATGTATGACGAATATAGGATGGCAAAAAAGAATAACAAAAAATAAAGTGTGAATAATTTTTTTTTTTTTTTTTTTTCTTTTATTTTGGATTTACTTTAATTTATAAATAAATTTTTACTCAGCAAATCTGTCGAATTACATTCTCTAAATGTTCAATTTTAATCTTTTTTTTTTTTGAATACCTCATTTTTGGAGATGATCTAAATTTTTACATTTTGGCTGATAGGTTAGCTGTTTCTCCACGGGCAAAGTACCATGGCTCTGTTAGCACACCCAGCTCCATCTCCTCTTTTGTTTTGTTTTATTATTTTTCTTTATCTTTTCATCTCTTCACGAATGAGCTCATTTGAAAAAAAAGGTTAAATAAATAGAATAATACCCAAGGGGTTAATACCACATGCATACGTCTTGTGCATCCGTCTTATGTATCCATCTTATGTATCCATCTTATGCATCCTCCCTGTGCATCTTCATTTTCTCCTGAACAGTAAGGTACGTTCAAATTGTTCCAAACGTCAAAGTTGGGAACTCAGAAAAATCTACACATCCCCAGGATGATCCACAAAACTGGATGAGGAATTATAAAAGCAGAAGATCCATTGGGGCTGTCTCTGCAAAGGTTCCTTCAAAAATCGCCTACAACTAGATCTACTACATCTACCGCTGCTTCTACTACTGCTACATCTACCGCTGCTTCTACAACTACTACATCTACCGCTACTTCTACAACTGCTTGACGTTCGAAAGTTGACAGGGGCGAGAAGGGCTGCATGCCACCCTCCCTCCATTTTAATCACATACTTTTGGCTTTTATTTACAAACAAGTCCAAAAGGGAAAACTTATCCACGTACATGATATGTATTTTATAATGATATACATTGTTTTCTTTATTTTCAATATATGAGAAATTGCTTAAAATGGATTTACTTATGCAGCGTGTACTACATCAAAATGCACTACTACTACGATGTATCAATTAATGCAAAAATGAAAGCAAACCAATCCATCATCATTATCATCTTCATCATTATCATCTACATCATTATCATCATCATATAATGAAATCGATCAAGTGGGAACAACCTCCCCATATTACCATTCGTATTTTAAAATGCACAAAAAACAAAAATGGATATCTCTATCTGGGGTGTATATTCCAAGCGCATAATTAATTGTCTAATCACAAAATGTGGAGTTTTCATATCCAAAAAAAAAAGATGAAAAAAAAAGAACTCCAAAAAAAAAAAAAAAAATAAAATAAATAAAATAAAAATAAATAAATAAATAATTACACTAAATTCGAGTTCAGCTAATTTTGAAAGGAATAACGTGAACTGTCATTTCATCGGATTCACTCATCTTGCCCTTACGACGTGCTAATTTCATCACATGTGCACATTCGGTGAACAAATTCCTGCGTTTCATTCTGACAGCATTCCCAAAGAGATTCTGCAGAATCACGCTCAATTAGCGTATAAACAATTGTGCATGTCAAAATGGATAACTAGGTAGGACAACCCTTTATGCTCATATACACTCATGCACATTTCTACACACCCACTTTAAGACTTTAACACCAGAAGAGCTTTGCCACATGCTATGCAAAGATCTAATGACCACAATTTCTCTCTCATCTATCTCTGGCATAAGTGAAAGATTTTAAAAAAAAAGTGAAATCCGTTTTGAATATTTTTTAAAAACTAAAAATTGTCAAAATCGTATACATATATATATATCCATATATGTACATTTACACCTTAACATGCACGAATGAAATATAACTACTCCAGTGTAAGCCACTTTTTTTAACCGACTAAGGAGAGTGTGCATGGTAACGAGACAAGAAAAACATTAACAAAACCCCTTTTGCCTTAACATGGAATTAGAAAATTGAACTATTTTCATTAAACATGTTACGCTTGATGCCAATATGATCAACCATGTTATAACAACCTTGTCCTTAAATTATGATCTTACAGAAAAAAAAAATAAAATAAAATAAAATAAGTAAAGCTAATAACAATTACAATTAGAAAAAAATTCCATTTCATCATAGAAAAGAACCTAACATACAAAATGACAAGAAAAAAAATCTAGATCTCTTCTGTTTCGTTAATACTAACTATCCACATTTGAATATCCCTTAAATGTCCACATGAATTAAAAAAAAAAATTTTTTAAACTATTACAAACCCCAAAAAACAAGGGTATTCCTAATACACGTTTACTTATTCATAAAATTAAAATATGCTTTATAGTATAAAATGTATGGTACTAATTCAAATAAAACGAAAAAACATAATAAGAATAAAATGAAAAACCACATGGTCATATAACACATGTGACCGTAATACAATATTCTAATAGTGCACACTAGTGAATATTAACCCTTAGGGAACAAAGAAAAAAAAAAATTATTTATATTTATATATATATATATACATATATATATATATATATATATATGTATATATGTATATACACCCTTTCCATTCTATGTAGCATTAAATATTGAGATGTAATTTTCTTAAAAAATTTGTATGTTTTATTACACCTAAACTCATATACTTAACACAAGAGTATTCAATCGAGGTAGTGCATTCAATTAAGAAAATCATTTTTGAGAGAACGATTTTTTTTTTTTTTTTTTTTTCCCCAAGTATAATATATACCTTTAAGCATCTTCTGAGCACTTAAAATATTTCACTTTTATGAGAGGTCCTTAAAATAAATAAAATAAAATAAAACCGCTTACTCATACGAATGTACATTTTTACGGATGCTTATATCCATGGGTGAAAGATCTAAAAATGTAAAAAAAAAAAAAAAAAATTGCTGGTATGAAATTCGCTCACTTTAGAATACCCGAGTATTTATAATTTGTCAATTCGCGATCGGTCGGGCATGTGCAGTACGACTCGAAATATAGCATTGTTATAAACGGGAAAAAAAAAAAAATAATAATAATAAAATAATAATAATAACAAAACGGTGATGAAAATATAAAAAAACTATAATCAAAACAGTAATAAATCAATAATGAAACAATAACAAAACGATAATGGAAACAATAATTAACAACATCAAAACAATCGCAAAACAATTGCAAAACAATAACAAAGCAATAGCAAAAAAATAACAAAGCAATAGCAAAACAAACACAAAACAAACACAAAACAAACACAAAACAATAGCAAAACGATGACAAAATGATAACAAATCAAATATGATACATATCGCACACTTCTCGTAATTCCTTCAGCAAATTTTGTCTTTAAAGTGAAAACTCTCCTTTAAATAGTAAACTCAGTTCAATTACCCTTTATATTGTTTTGCAAAATTTAAAATGCGAAGGAAAAAAAAAAAATAACCCAGTAATTTCTTTCCTAGTTTAGTGCACAATTTTTTCTAATTTTAAAAATTCACACGCACATACATGCATGAGTACGTATTGGAGAAGGGGGATTTAAATTTAAAAAAAAAAAATCAAAACATAACAAAAAAAAAAAAAAAAAAAAAAATATATGTATTAAAAAAGTTAAAAAAAAAAAGAATCGCAAGAATCGAAAGAAAAGCTTGAATGCTGAAAGAAGATTCACACTTTTATGTATATTTGTATATTTTTATATATATATTTATATATATAAATATATTTGCATTCACACGCATGTACGCATATTCATTCTTAAATGAAAATTCTATTCCCTAAAAATTCTAAAGAGTAATATAATTTCCTATCACGCAGTACACACAATTGCGCATTAAAACAAACTTCCAAAACTAACAAGGTACCAAAATCGAAATACATATCGACAAGTTTACAAATTAGAAAATAGAAAAAAAAAAAAAAAAAAAAAAAAAAAAACACATCCCGCATGCATACACACATTTGTATACATATTGAGCTTTGTTTTTAATTGTACGATAATAAAAAGAGTAATAAAGTGGTACACAATTTTTTCTTTTTCTTTTTCTTTTGAGATTATACATTATTGTATTGCATTTTTCTACCACTTCTCTCCTTTTATCGCGCATACAGGCACATACCCATAACCATACGTACACACACACATAGCCAAACGTACATGCACACATAACCATACGTGCATGTACATATGCTCATAAATACACACACACATAGCCATACATGCACACAAAATTCCCCTTTTCAGATTCCTCCTAAACAGGATATCCTTTTTTGAAAAAAAAAAAAAAAAATGAGAATAACAAAAGTTCTGACAACGCTTAGCGTTTTGATAGTTATCAGCCTTTTGTCACCATGTATGTCTAAGAATTTATTTCTTGAAAAAGTTAAAGAACAGTTAGATGCATTCGATAAGAATATGAAAAAAAAAGACTTTAAAAAGAAAGTATATATCTCAACAGCTGTTTTGGGATTAGCAATACTTGCAAATGTATTGCTAGGGGTAGGGTACCATAGTTATAAGAAAAAACAAAACGAAAAACAGAAAGAACAAGAAAAAAAACAACAATATCAAAGACATTTTCAACAGAAGTTCCAGAAATCATATGAGAAACCTCTTCAACAACAGCCTGAACAACAGCAAAAGCAACCGTCTGAACAACAGCTGAAGCAACCGTCTGAACAACAGCTGAAGCAACAACCAAAACAAAATTATTCTGATTATAAATTAAAAACAGATTCTAATAAAAATTCAAAAACCGTAAAGGAAATCATGGATAAAGTAAGTCGATTATCAGAAAAAAATATGGCAAAAATGCTCAAGTCAGGAAAATCATATAATCCAAGGTTAATTGAGATTATATCAAGTGTTGAAAGTGAAGTAAAAAAGAGAAATGCGAAACTTGATAAACATGACATTTCTAACATATCTTACGATGTTTTGAAAAACCTTTATCAAACCTCTGAACGATGGAAAAAGAACCCAAACTTAATTCCTAATATGTAGATTTTCATTGTCCCAGTTTCTTCATGTTCACTCATCGAGACCCTTTTCCAAGGTGTATCAAGATGTGTATTATTATACTGCACGCTTTCCATAATCAGTTATTCTTGATTATGAATTTTTTTTTTTTTTTTTTTTTTTTTTTTTTTTTTTTTTGGAGGGAGGGGGCTTGAAACATGCTATAAAAAAGCATTAATCTCCAAACACTATAATTTTCCTTTTTTAAACCATAAATGATAAACTTTTTTTTTCTTTTTAATACATGCCACTCCAACATTTTTAAAATTTCAATGTTGAAGACATGAGTATACATGTATGCACATATATTTCAATATAAGTATTTAAAAAAAAAAAAAAAAAAATCCCTAAGATGTGAAGATATTCATTGCATGTGCATAGGAACACACCTCTGTGTTCTACGTTCGAACATGCATATCTTAATCTATAAGTGATTCCAAAGCATACCGTAAATGCATGTTTAGAAATAAGTCTAATGTGCATTTATCCTTGTTATGCATTGTTATGGAATACCATAGAGATAGTCTGTTCATATGTCAGTCTATGAGTTCCTCTGTAGGAGGAGGGAAGGAGGGTGGTAGCTCTTTTAAGTTTCAAATTAATTTTCAGCCATTTTGGGGGTTACAAAAGAATTCATTTCAACAACACCTTTTTACATTTACTCAATTTGGTATGCACATAAAATGCAATTATTTTGAACTGTCACACTCCTGTGTATTTTGTAGAAAAAGGGGAATCCAAAAAAATTGTGTACGGTAAAGAAATGAATAATTAAGGATGTCTCCCTAAGAAGGGAGGCTACAAGACAAGAAATGACACTTCAACGTGAGAATTTATGATCCTTAAAACACTTCACATGCACTTTAGCATTTACAACTCCTTATAGATATTGAAGAGAGGAAAATATTAAAATTTGAAATTTTTTTTTAATCTATTTTTTTTTTTTTTTTTCAGGGTAGCTGTAAAAAACTGCTTCAAAGTTAGGGAAAAGGGACATTTCTTTTTTCCTTTTTGTAACGGTAAAATAACTGCGACAATATAATAATTATGATAAGAATATTAAAATTAAAAAAAAAAAAAAAAAAATGTAAATACATTTTCACATTCGCTATATCGTAAAAATAATGTGAAAGAACTAAACTGTTGCCTGTTTTTTGTAAATCCTAAAATTATCCACCCCGGAGTAATTAATTACATTCCTCATCAAAGTGCACAAATAGTGTGATACTTTGGAGGAGAAAAGTTCTCTTTTCTGCTTTATTTTCTTTTATTTATTTCTTTATTTTACTTTATTTTATTTTTGTTTTACTTTTACCTCATATGAAATTTTTTTATCTCCCTATTCCTTCCAAATACGATAGAACAAGGCATAAACCTGTTCACGCCTCATTACTGTTATCTCACACGCATTTTTGTATTTTTTTTTCTCACAAAAATAACTTATGTGCGCGCGTGTAAAAACCTTTCCGAATAGATCTGACAAGAGGATGGATTTCCAAAAAGGGAAGGAGATTACTTGAATTATTTTCCACCATTCTTTTTTTTTTTTTTTTTTTTTTTTTTTTTCATCCGTTTATTTTTTCTTTTTTTCAATTATGTTTACTAATTTAACAAGGACATTTTTACATTTATCAAAAAAAGGTTCAAAACTTGTGTAAAAACATAATCAAAGAAAAGGGGAAAAAAAAAATTAGTGATACTTTTTGAACAACCTCCCCTTTCATATCTTTATGTTTAAAAATCCTGTATTATATGTAAATTGCACAAAACAAATACATGTTACACACATGTGAAAGAGACAATCAAACAAGCATACAAACACACTGCTACATGGAATCAGAAGTTCAATTCTGTATCCTGGAATAACTACCTTATGTACACATGCTAAATATTACGTATTTGTCATTCCCACTTCTCCAGTCTCCCTTGGGGTAACAGACATTGGGTACACCCTGAAAAGTTCCATGAGCACCTCTCAATTATCCTTCTCACCCCCATGTGCATATTGTGTGAATATATATATATATATATATATTATAAGCCTATACGTGCATATCTTATTATCCATGTGTTCCCTTTGTCCATTCTTTTTACCACAATTTTAGTTTTTTTTTTTTCTTTCTTTTTTTTCTCCCATACTATCGCTTATATTTTTTTGTAAATTGTAATCCCAGTAAATTTTAATCTTTTTTTCTCTCACATGCTTTCTTCTGCTTCAAATTGTAAAAATCTGCCTGCACACTTCAGTGAAAATATTACACAGCAAGATTTATATTAACATTTTTGCAAAAAAAAAAAAAAAAAAAAAAAAAACTAGCTAGCCATGAATTTGAGTCAGCTAATATCCTTCGGTAACAACTCAGCAGTGGCACTAAAGGACATAGTTGGATCTAAAATAGGTTTACTATGTAAACCTAACCCTAACCAAACACATGCACTTCCAAGCATTATATCATATTCAGGCATTCTCATTCTACTATGTGGGGCATATAAATTATGTGAAAAGGTACTCATTAACTCAGCTACGAGAATTACTTTTTTTTTTTCAAAATGGGAAATTATTTTTACTCCACTTTTGCACACATTACATTTTCCCATGTTGCTCAAATTTTCCACTTTTTTTTTTTTTTTTTTTTTTTCTTATTACCTAGATTTTCATTCCATATATATGTACACATCTTTCCAATTTTCATTTTTTTGAAGTATTATCAAGGAAATTCAAACAAGCTCAAATTCGCAGGTACTCCTGTTTTTAATTCAGAAAGTGTCCAAGAGAAAAAAGAGAAGACCGTTTTACCAGTTCAGGGCAATGTGAACAGCGTGCAAAATACGAACGAGTCCTTGGATCAACATGAACAAAATGTTCAAGATGCAACCGTTGGTGGAGAAGAGGGAGATGGAGAAGGAGAAGATGAATTAGGGGAAGGATTAACAGAAGGAATAGAGGAAGGATTATTGGGAGAATTAGGGGAAGGGTTGGGGGAAGAATTAGATGAAGAATATGGAGAAGAAATTGGCGAACAATTTTCTGACGACCTTGGGGAAGAATATAACGAGGAATATGGGGATGAATATAACGAGGAATATGGAGGAGAATATATCGAAAAATATGGGGATGAATATGGAGAAGAATATGGAGACGACGAGGTCAACCAACACGATGATGAAGAAGCCAATCAATATGGTGATGAATATGAAGAATACAACATACTCAAAGATGATCAGGTCACTGTAGACCAGGCAATGGAATTGTAGGAATTGGATGTCCTTCTCCGTCTCCCTATACATCTTCAAGTGTTTAAGATGTCAGATGAATTTTTTACTTTTTTGTATCCTTTTAAAGTACCTATATAATGCAATTCGTGTGCAATTCGTGTGCAATTCGTGTGCAATTCGTGTGCAATTCGTGTGCAATTCGTATGCGATTCTTGTGCAACTCTTGTGCAACTCTTGTTCAACTCTTGTTCAACTCTTGTTCAACTCTTGTGCAACTCTTGTTCAACTCTTGTGCAACTCTTGTACAACTCTTGTACAACAATTTTTTTTTAGTGTCCCACCGTATATTCACATATGCCTCATATTATCTCGGAAAAAAGCATATCGAGCATTCTACCCTTTCTCAATTTTTAACCCATTTTCCTTTACGAATAGTTGCGACTTTGCCTAGTGCACACAATTGAACCAAGCAATAGACACATACTTTTTTATTTTTCATGTTCATAGTGAAAAATGTTATACTTTTTTTTTTTTTTTTACAACTTATTTCCCATGATATATGTACCCTTCCATATTTTCTCCAATTTTTATTTTCTTACCTTATCCCTGTATGTGTACACGAATTATTTATTCAACAACACTTTGTTTAAACCTCGTTTCTTAGACTTAAAAGAAATAAATAGAGGATACACAATTTTAAAGGTTCAGAAATTGACAGTATCTACAATCATGGAGATTGGAAGGAAACAAAATGAAGAAACTATGTTCTATACGTTTTTCTCAACTTTTAGATAAATCCGTTAGATTATCACAAAGAAATGAGTTCAAATTGGAAGGGTATTCTAAAAATGTAGTTAACGGTATTCATACTTCTTTAATTATAACCAAAAAATTGGCAATCAACACCAAACTTTTAGTCCTGCTTTTAGTTGCCAATGAAATGGGACATTTCTTCAGCTCTTGTATTTTCCATCATAGGATCTACACATTTCTTTTTTCTTTCTCTCTCTCTCGCTTCTTTACAATCATGATGTTTACATCCATGGATATACAAAAGAGAAAAAGGTGAATTATATTTTCACTAACTGGTATCTCTTTTTTTCTTTTCCTTTTTTCACACCACATGAATAATTCAATTCTTCATATGGGACATGGATTTTATTATATGTATTTGTAGGTGCAATACTGTATTTTAATTTTTTTTCTTTTTTTTTTATTACCCTTTTTTAACCTATAACCCCACATGAAAATTAATAAAATGAGCGCAGCGCATTCATACTTTTTATGGAATTCCAGAAAAAGTGAAAAATAATTATCATTCAAACCGTTACTTACTCACGTTTGCCGAATTTCCCTCCTCATCCTCAACTTTCTCTCTTCCTTTCCTTTTTTTCGATTTACCATTTTAGAAATTATTCACAAAAACGCTCCCCTCATTTTGTTCATAGCTGTTAGAATTTTCCATGGACAAGTAGAAAAAGACCAAATAAAATTTCATATCATCAAGTACATATGTTGCAATCGTGTTTAAGTGTGTGAACTCAAAATAATGGTAAAGACCATGCCAAAGCAAAAAAAAAAAAAAAAAAAAAAAAAAAAAAAAAAAAAAAATTAAAAAAACTTTTTTTTTTTTTTTTTTTTTTTTTTTTTTTTTTTTTTTTTTTTTTTTTTTTTTTTTTTTTTTTTTTTTTTTTTTTTTTTTTTTTTTTTTTTTTTTTTTTTTTTTTAAACTATTTTTTT